TATTAGTTATTCAGCATTTGCTTTTGTCTGAAAATTACTAGAACAGTTTTATTTGGGTTAACAGTTAAGTCATATTCCCTGCACGTAGATACCTCATACATTTTTTTATACTCAGACATAGCTTTCTTGTATAGTAGCCAGTCTTCAGCCATTGAGGTATTCATGGCTCTATTTAGGGCTTTTCTTACCTTTTTGCGTTACCTATCCAGTTCTTTATCCCACCAAGGTTACTTTCCCTCAGCAAGCCTTCGTGGAGTGATTTCTGGACATGCTACATGGTAGCTGTGTATCATGGATCTATGGTTACCACCTGTTCTTTTAGGAGCAACTGATGTGATATAGCGTTTGTCCCCTCAAAACCCGCAAGCGAAGACATTAGCTGGTTTTGGTTCTTTATTTTGTCAGCCTTGCGGAGATATGGACCTTCAGTACGGAGCAGATTCATCTATGGTCTGAGCATGAGGCATCCCTCGACACATGCCATCCCGTGATTAGTTTAGCTGCTCCTTCCGTTGTGTGAGGTCGATTATTGTGCGACAACGTTTGTTTATGAAAGTTGGTTCGGAATCTGTGTTTAAAATAGTTAGGTTAGGGTTAAAGAGATATTCAACTAACATCTTACCTCGTTCGTTGGGGTTTTCTATTCCCCAGAGGGGATGATGTGCGTTCGGGTCCGTCCCAATCACAACCTCTAGTCCAGACCTCCCGCAGAAGTTCATCAGTCGGACGAGGTCATGAGGGGAAGGTGTGTCAACTTCCGGCATGTAGACTGAGGCGACGACTAATCTTAACTCCTGTGTATTTTGTATTGTTACGTACATGTCTCTGGAACAGAATTCTGTTAATGGTTGTTGTAAGTGATAGGCTTGTCATGCTCATGAGTTGTAGAATAGCTCACTTTTAAGGTTGTTTAGGCCATTGATTTTACCTCATTATTTAGCTCCAACCCACGACTCCTGGATTAAGGCTATGGCTGTCCTTTGAGCCTCAATCATTTATTGAGCGGACGCAGTTTTGCTGTAGTGGAGGTTGGCCTGCATTGGGCTAGTTCTTCGAGGGTTTAAAGTGATATAGTAAGTCAGCTCAAATTCTAATTTCGTCCCCACTTGCCCGCACGTCGTATGCTATGTACCGACATGTTTGTAATCACTAATACTGTAAGTAGAAAGGTCGTTAGACACTTATTTCATTAGGTTTATCATATTTATGCCTGTTTCTTAACGCCAAGCCAGTCGCTTCTTATTTTTATTACGGTTATTTCCCATTTTAATTATACGTCGTTCTGTTGCGTAATGTGTATTCTGATCGTAAGCGACACAACCTCCCCCTTCAAAGGCCGAAGCGAAGTGACCGGGCGGCAGGAATCACGCTTCAAGAGGCCGATAGTTTAGGTAATTTCTTTTTACAGTGAAAATAATTGTATTTTAAAAAAAGTAAATAATATAAGCACTGCTTTATAGTTAGTTCAGTTAGTATGCAAAGTTTCATGATCTTATTTAAAGTATTTTATGAATAACAGCGCTTTATTGTTTATTTTGGAGGTAACTTTGGATTTTTTTTCTATTGAGAAAATTTTACGAAATCGTGTTTTCGTCTAACATAATCCTTAAAATTAATCCTCAACTTTACCATATATTTATTTCAAAATTAATGCTGCAATATTTTCGGCATAACGAAGGATCTTGCTAAGCCATTTGAGATTATATTTCCCCTTAAGGGCTAGGCGTGCGTGTTGGTTGAACTTACTCGATTTTTTTTTTAATTTATTAGACATAGCCGGTCTATTGACAGTGTTATTTGCAACGTCTTTCACGTGACACATCAATATATAAAACAACAATTAACAACAAAAATAACAATTTGAATGGTGCCGGCCGGGATCGAAATAGGTTTGCTCGCGTATTGTGAACTTTATTGCGAACGCTTGAGTGCAGTGAAAGAAAACAACGTGGTAAAACCTGCAAGTCATAATAATTGAAAATATATCTAAGACATATGACGTTCGCCAACACGCATTGGGTCAGCGCGGTGGACATTTCCTTGCCCTAAAACCCTCGCAGAAATGAGAGGAGAGCTGTGCCCAGCTGAAGGACGTACACTGTAGCTCTATATATGTATGTATGTATGTAAGATTGGTTTTTTGTATTGATTACAATTTTATTTTTCATAAAAATTAATAAATTTTCAATTTTTTTTTGTTTTTGCATTAAATGCGTAATATAACTTCTAGAAAAATTAGAGAGAAACAAGCAATAACTTTCCATTGGAATATTATGTTTTAATTTTTACTTGCAATATTTGCTGTAAAACTGTTTGCCAAGTTTTCCATACGTTTAGGATTTGGGCTTAGAATACTTAGTAACTAGACGTGTATTTTAACTACTAAACCACCCATCGTAATAACTAAAAGCTGGATTCTTATGGTATTCGTAAAACAAACATTGCATCGAAGAAGTAACAAATTAAATTATTTTCCTTCAACGTGACCGAAGCCTTACCGCGCGCAAAACGTGAACAGCTATTATCCTTAAAGAAGTTAAAATTGTGAGCTTTCCACAATAGCAGCCATGTAAAGTTAGCGAAACGTAAAATTCTTTTGATAAACTTCTCAAAGTAATTCTTTTATATTTATATGACGTAAATGCACAAAACTGTTTCCTCGCGAAGTTTTTCGTCACCACATGGTATCTAAATTGGGGCCGACTTCGATTTATGCAAGGACGAGACTACACTATAGTCAACCAAATGTAAGAAATACATTTTGACACATGTCAGACTTATTGCACCAAGCATGCCAACAAAAAAATGGGAACGTGCAATATTCGATTCTTAAAAAAATTGATATCGATTATTTAGAGTTGGGAATCATTTACGGTTTGGTTTGAATAATACTAGAAGAAAATAAAAACGGATAATTTAAAAAAGATTTATCATTCTTCGTATTTGTTGTTACTGCTTATTTCTAGAGGCATAGTTATAAAAATTTAAGACTGAAACTAGATTAAAAATTTATCCAATCACTTTCAGTACAACTAGTTGAGCTGTCGTTGTTTAGATTAATTAATATCTCTATCAAAGTCATCCATAATCAATTTTTTGTTTATTCTACCACTTTTTCCCAATCATCCTTTTTGACATGGGCACATGCTTCAACGAATATAGAAGAAACAGTCCAAAAAGTTTCTTCTATGTACACAAAACACACAAAATTACGCACAGTAAGCTCCTGAAATGGCGGGAGATCGAAATTACGTAGTGATTTTTTTCAGCGCGACCTTGCGTATTAGTTTTTTCGCTTACACAAATTTACGATATCAAGGTAAAAAAAATTGTTTTATTCATGATTAATGTAATTTAAGGAATTTCAAAAATAAAATTTTTACTAAACAAATAATACATAAAAAATTAAGGATCGATTATTTGAATATTTTTAGCAATTATTTGAGTATTTTTTCCGATTATTCACATAACAATGAATTTTAATCATTCTAACACTACGGTAAGGTACATAGCGACATATCATTGAAACGACGGCAAGTGAAAAGGTTGATACTGTTTTTTTTTTTCACATTTTGCTTTGTTTGAAAGATTCGAATTTAAATTAGTGATAAAAAACTATACACGTTGTAATGAAATATAGATAACTTCATAATTCTTCGGATTTACGTAAAAGGTTATTTTTAATCGTGTGAGTACGCTTGTGCCAAGTTATTGCGAAATGATTAATGTGAAACGTCATAAGGTATTCTTAGATTTGGTTGAGTATAATATGCATATTATACTACATTAATTTATTTATTTATTTACATTTAATTCTATTAAAGACCCCAATAAAAAGAATTACAAAGGGCAGACTTAGCCTTTTGGAATTTTCTTCTAGTCAATCCAGAACATGACATTACGAAAAATGACCCAAAGAGTAGAAAGTGCTGTAAAATTTTCTTCAAACCCAGAACTAAATTTGTAGTGCTGCTAGTGAGAAATTAAAAACCCAGAACATGTACGTGTTGTAGTGGGGTCCACTGCTAGGTGAGCATAGGAGGTGTACAAATAAAAGGTAGTCCTGTACTAACACTCGCGAATTAATGTTTACGCACAAATGTAAAGTCACACAAAAATAAATAGTCAGAAGGAGAATGCAACGTAAGTTTTTACAATAAGGAAGAAGTACAGAGATAGAGAGGAACTAAAAACAAGATAATAATTTATCAAAAGATCGGCACACGTAAATAATTTTAGATCGTGAGATAGACAAAACGACAATCTCCGAGACGAAGTACGTAAGCGGCTGGCCGATCGGTCAAGGGGGCGGTGCTTTAATACCGCCGGCCCGCAACCACTGCTTCACTATATTACCCCATATATGGTCTTGCATCTATTTTTAATATCTATTACCAAATATGGTCTTGGATCGACGACGCCGTGCGCAATCGAACCTACGAAATGTCGGCCAGCTGATAAGAAGGGTGTGTAGTATAAATGTGTGTGTGTGAAAGTATGTTTGTGTGAAATGTACAAGTCCCCTACAGTGTGTTAAGTGCCAAAACTAAAAACATCATTTAGTTAGATAAGTAAAGTGCTAAATTGATGAATCTAAAAAAAACTATGACTAATCTTAAAGGTCGATTTTTCTATCCTTAGATAAAATTTATTTGTTGGATAAAAGACAAAATAAAGAAATCAAATTTACAGTTGTTTGTTATTAGTAGTTATTATTTCAATTGTTGCACTTTTGTATTCAGTCAGGTTATAATCTATTTAATGGATAACTGATTGAAAAACCATTCCTTAGTAGTGTAAAAATCTTTTCATGTGTGTAACATTATTTTTTAATGCGATATCCATTTTCAATTTTATAATGGGAATATCTTTTTGTTTTAATTTTATATAAATGTTCCAGTCTTTATTAATAGCTCAGCTTTTTTGGTGACAGTTAATAGTTATTTACTATAGGTATCAGATTTCTGCACTAAATTAACAATATCAAAACGATTCGACAGTGGAGTTAGTGGGAGTTCAGGGCGTGAACCCGTACCTGCTGCAGAACTTAAACCAGATCCTCGTGTCCGGGATGGGCGGTATGCTGGGCCAGTACGGACAGATGCCGCCCTGGGGACAGCCTAAGCCTATGTGGCCGCAAGACAAGGTATAGAACACACTGTTTACTTTTATAACTTTTATTGCATAATGGTTTAATATTAAATTTTATAAAATTTTATACATGGTAGAGCCATGCTGCAGTTATATTAGTAGTATAGTTGTAGCACGAATAGGTCGGCTCGACCGGGGAAGGACCATGCTTTCACAGAATACCAGCGTAAAATAGTAGCTTAATGCTGCTGTGTTTCGTATGGTGAGTGGAGAACCGGAGACCCTTTTTACTGGAAACGAGGCATTCCATCTTAGCCCTCACGGGTGACAACGCATCTGCATTTTGATTCGTAATCGAGGATATATGTAGATGTCTATGGGCCACAGCAACCACTTACCATTAGCTGGACTGTGTGCTCATTTGTCACCCTATTCTATATAAAAAAAAAGTTTGAAGTTCTAAGTTACAGTTGACTTATATTATTTTAACTCTCCCTTTCTATTGTTATTTTCTTTGACTTGTAGATTTACTACAGTTAAAAATAGTCTGTATAATAAAACTATTAATATAAAACCTTCGTCGTTAATCTTATTTAAAGTAGATTTCTTTATTTTTTGTATATATTTACTTAGTTGAGAAAATTAAATTTGGAAAAAATTCCATCTACAGTCAGTATAAAAAAGAAGTCATTTGATTAAAACAAAAAGAAGTCATTGATATTTTTATGACTTAGATTGTAAAAAATCGGAACTGAGTTATGAGATTATTATTACCGACACGATACGACATATGGTGGGTATACGTTTTTTTTCATAATATTCCTTTTTATTTTTACAATGTTTTTGCTTACACGACGGAAATTAAAGTAAACGAATTCTTATTAAAATATTTTAGATGCCAGGTGATGAAGAGGAAGTGGACGATGAAGAGATGGGTGTCGCTGAGACATACGCGGATTATATGCCTACAAAGTGTAAGTTGACATTGATTGAAAATTATTATTTTATATTCATAACTAAGTAAAAATATAGTAAAAAACTATAATTTTAACAAAAGATGTAAAAGAACTGAGAGAGGTGGGTCAGGATCGTGACAAATGCACTAGGCTACACAGGGAAACTGAAACTGAGGTCGGCAGGGACATCTTCCTGAAAACAATTCAATAATAATAATAAAAAAACTGCAGTAGTCAAACCGGCCGCCGAGTATGGTAGCTATAGCTAATTTCCTCCTTATGACTATGGGAGTTAAGGGTCAATGTAGGCTAAGTGGTGGGTTTTTGATGGACTGTAAAGAATGGATGAATTATGTGTAGAGAGAATTAGTGTGTCTAAATGAATTTTACATACGGTTTTGCGTATGGCAACTATGTTGATTCCCTTAGCGTGATAAGACAGTCTTATTATTATTAACACAATGAAGTTCCTTACTACAGTGTGCTGATATTGATGAAATCTTATTTCTTTATGCAAGATGACTTGCAGACTCCCACAACAGTTATCGCATTCACAATTTTGAACAATTAAAATACTACACTGGTCAGCCCTGAAATATGTCCCGATTGACCTAACATGGTGGAGTAGGCAGCTTGGACTCCTGACCTCCCCATCTTGCCCTTAACCTTTGTTTTTGACAATACGTATCTGTCGGACGACAGGATTTTTAGATTTAGACTGTAAGTTGATTATAGATTTGTCTCGCAGTGAAGCTGGGCCGCAAGCATCCGGATCCGGTGGTGGAGACGGCGTCGCTCTCGTCCGTGGAGCCGGTGGACGTGACGTACTCGCTGAGCCTGCCCGACGAGACGGTCCGCGCGGGGCTGCTGTCCGCGCTTCAGCTGGAGGCCGTGGTGTACGCCTCGCAGGCGCACGAGCACATGCTGCCCGACGGCACGCGCGCCGGCTTCCTTATCGGTGAGCCTCGCGCAACTCCCCACCTACGCTGCCTGACGGAACTTGCGTTCAATTTCTTATCGGTACCACTGGCCGCTCGGTGGTTAGCAACTTGTAGCTGAGTAGTTACAGTGACCGACTGCCTCATTGGTGAGCAACTTTCAGTTTAGTAGTGAGCAGTTTACAGCTTCATTGGTAACTGGCTGACGGCACTTCCGTTCTCTACCTTATTGGTGGGCCACTGACTGCAAAGAATTAGTAACTTGGAGTTACCGCACCGCACCGCACCGGCCTCCTCATTGGTAAGGAACTTGCACTAATTAGTGAGTTACTTGCAGCTCAATGGTGAGCAACTTTTTTTAAAACTTCCTGCCTTAAAAATTTAATAATTTTCAAAAGTAGGAAGTTATCGATGTCGCTCAGATTTTGAGAATGCGAGCTTTCATCAGATCTCCACGTTTTGAGGTCCTAGAAAACTCTTCCGACTATTTCCAGCTAGACGAAAACCAAAAAAAAATATTTTCAAGTTTTCTCTAAATAACTTTCAAAATATTTGACTAATCAACTCCATACATCAAAGACACTTTTTTCTACTTGTAAAACTACGTCGAATGCCGCCAAGTAAATCAATATTGAACGACGCGTTCAAAAATTATAACTATTTAAAAATTTCTAAATGAAAAAGCAAGCAGCTTGATTGATTGAAGGATAACTCATCAGGCAATTTACTATCACAGGTCTTCTCTCATTCCTGAAGGTTATGGAGCAATTAAGCTGCGTGCAGTTAAGTGTTTTGCAAGCAATTAAGTGTGTGCAGTTATAAGTTGCTATTTTACGCTGGTATTCTGTGAAAGTTCGAGTTTGAGACAGTGACAACTTGCAACTCCAGTAGCCACGCTGTCTGACGGAACGATGAGCTACTGCCCGCTTGGTGGTTAGCAACTTGTAACTGAGTAGTCTCATTGGTTAGACGACACGTGCATTGGCTTCCTTATTGATGAGCAACTTGCGGCTTAGTTATGAACAATTTGCAGCTCCAGTAGCCTAACTCTGGCTGATAGAACTTTCGTTAGCTTTCTCATCAGTCAGCCACTGGTTGCAAAGTGGTTAGCAACTTGTAGCTGAGAAGTCACTTTGGTTGACGACATGTGTGCTGACTTTTTCATTGTTGAGCAACTTAAAAGTGGACTTTTGATAGGCTTTAAACAGTAATGGTTACAAACATATTTCTGTTTGTGTTATTATAAGTATAAAGTCGCGATGCTTATTCTGTTATTTGACCACTCATACTTTTAATACTGCCAAAGAACAAAATAAAGTGATGATAGTGTCCCACTGGTACCATATTGAAATAAATAAATTTATTCTTGAATACAGTCTCTTAATAACCCATAAAATTGTCTAATTTTAGAAAATATTTTTAACAAGGTGATGGAGCTGGTGTGGGCAAAGGCCGAACGATTGCTGGCATCATCTTTGAGAATTATTTGAAGGGCCGCAAGCGAGCTATTTGGGTCTCTGTGTCGAATGACCTCAAGTACGACGCGGAACGGGATCTCAGGGACATTGGCGCTGGCAAGATCGAGGTTTACCCGCTCAATAAGGTAAAGTTCTTTTATATAAATGCTTATAATTTTGTATCATTATAACATAATTGTTATGGAGTGTAGAAGTAAGGAGTACAGACTGTGTATTAAAAAGTGTCCATAAAAACCTTTAAATAAGGGTGGCGCCACTATAGTTATGGGGTAAATTTTAAAGAACGCACCGAAAAATATTAGTGCGATAGACGACTTTTTCGAGGTTATATTTACTAAATAAAATTATTATAGATTTTAGAGCTACTGGTCAGTTTAGCAGCACACTTAAACCGTCGACAACTGCTAATTTAATTTCATCCCAGTAGCTACTCCAGTGCTATTGTGGAGAGTTTTTGAACTGTTATTTACTGCTTACAGATGGCCACTTTTTCAACTATTCTACTATGGGAGTTGGTACTCCTTACTTCTACACTCCATAATAATTGTGTAGATGTCACAATTTTTTTTAAAGTTTATTTATTATATAATTTGAATTTGCTACTTTAATGGTGACTTAATATTTTGGTTTTTCTCCTCAAATGTAAGTTTCATGTCCAGCTGTAGACTTGTACAGCGTCGCGGGTATTACTTCAAGTTTGTTTGCTTACGGTTGTCGGTTGGTTAGTTCAAGTACGCGAAGATCTCGTCGGCGGTGAACGGCAACGTGAAGAAGGGCGTGGTGTTCTGCACGTACTCGGCGCTCATAGGCGAGACGCAGTCCTCCAGCACCAAGTATCGCTCGCGCCTCAAGCAGCTGCTGCAGTGGTGCGGCGAGGACTTCGATGGATGCGTATCCTTTACGACATGAACATTTATTTTTTAATAAATTAATATGTGAAGGTAAACTTTGTTCCCCTTTTTAAGCATATTACGCGCACGGAGGAGTGTGACATTTTGTTGGAGTTGAAAGTGTAGCTTTGTTAAAGTTTACATGGTGGAAAACAGAAAACTAATTTTTTTATAGAATCAGGGTGACAAACGAGCACATAGTCCACCTCATAGTAAGTAGATGTTGTCGCCCATAGACATCTACATTTATCCTCGATTAAGAATCAAAATGCATATGCGTTGTCACCCCTCAGGAATAAGGTGAAATTCCTCATTTCCCGCAAAACAGGTCTCCAGTTCTCTATACTCACCATACGAAACACAGCAGCATTAAGCTGCTATTTTACGCTGTTTATGGATGGATTTTAACAAATATGCAAAGAATAAGATTTAGGATGCGATTGAACCGCCTTTTCATATTCATATCCGTACAACGGCCAACGAGAAGCGATACCAAATGTAAACAAAATCAATGCAAGGTAATTAGGAATAGCAGGGGTGCCATTTTTTTTGATATTAACTTTTTGATATTTACGTAGACAATATAGTTTTAAAAATGTCTAGCAAATCAAAAAATAGACTTTTTATTAATTTTGTTATACATAATTTGAATTATTATAGATATAATGTAGATTTAAATTAAATAAATGCTTTGTGCGCCATATCTTTTTTCCGTATGAGTATTTATCATTAGGACAAGTTTCTTTAACATATTTGTAGGTATTAATAATCATATTTTTTCATTCACTGTGAAACTAGTCAATTAAAATTAAAAATTAAATTAAAATGATATACATACTTTACTTACGTGTATCTTTAATAAATAAAGTTTTATTATTACAGTTGCTGTTTTTAAATAACTTTATACTCCAAACCAAGAAGTTTTAATTAAAACTACTAAAGAACATTCATATGTATCCTATTCCTATACATACCTTTGGACGTTTCTTTTTCAGAGAAGTAAAAGCTGTTCATTTATCTCTCGACGTACTTGGTTGTGGCTCCATCATTAACCACTCTTAATAAAAAACAATTATCAACAAAACAAAATAATAATAATTAAATAAAAAACAATTACTAAAATGGCCTCCCGAATGTTGGCGCACCCGTCTTGAGCCTGACATGTTTTTGCCGGGAAAACGAGATATTACGACTAATACACAAGACGGAAAGAGAAAGATAATAGATTGTAAATTCCACGGTAGTTTTTAAGGTAAATGACCTTTCGTATCGCTGCTAGTTGTCCGTACTATATGTATTGAATTTGTAAAATTTTCTCTTGCATCCTTTGGTATCGCTTTAAGAAATAAGACCTTAATTATAAATCAGATCGTATTTGATGAGTGTCACAAAGCGAAGAACCTGTGCCCGGTGGGCTCCGGCAAGGCTACAAAGACCGGGCTGACGGCTCTCGAACTACAGAACAAGTTGCCAAAAGCGCGCGTCGTCTACGCTTCAGCCACTGGAGCCTCGGAGCCACGCAATATGGCATACATGGTGCGCCTCGGTATATGGGGAGAAGGGACGCCTTTCCCTACGTTCATGGACTTTATTAACGCTGTAGAAAAGAGGTGGGTTTTCTTTAAAGAATACAAAGTCTGAAGTTTTAAAAAGTACAATATTTTATGCATGTAATAAGGCAGTGTGATAGTTTTTGGCTCGAAAGTATTTTTTTTTAATAGTAAAAGAGTGACAAGCGATCACACAGTCTGCCTTAAGGTAAGTGGTTGCTGTGGCCCATAGACATCTATATCTATCCTCGTTTACGAATCAAAATGCAGATGCGTTGTGACCCGTGAGAACTAAGATGGAATGCCTCTTTTCCAGTAAAAAGGGTCTCCGGTTCTCTACATTCATCATACGAAACACAACGCATTAAGCTGCTATTTCACACTGGTATTCTGTGAGAGCGTAGTCCTTCCCTGGTCGAGCCGACCCATTCGTGCTACAACTATACAATTAATATAGCTGCAGCATGATTCTACCACGTAAAGAAGTATTTGCAATAATCGTCTATAGTCAGACAGAAAGTCTCAGCAATTTGGACTGCTTCTCATCGCTGGTTCGTTTTGTGTTAAGATGTTTTATTCCGTCGTCTATTAAAATTAATAACAGTAGCCCTTTATTCAGACATTGATCGATTAATATTAGAATTTAAAGTTACATCAGTAGTATGATTTTAATTTTTCTATTCAACTTCTGTTTCTTCGATCTATTTTTTTTTTTTTTATAGAATAGGCTGACAAACGAGCACACAGTCCACCTGATGGTAAGTGGTTGCTGCGGCCCATAGACATCTACATCTATCTTCCATTACAAATCAAAATGCAGATGCGTTGTCACCCGTGAGGACTGAGATGGAATGCCTCATTTTCAGTAAAAAGGGTCTCCGGTTCTCTACACTCACCATACGAAATACAGCAGCATTAAGCTACTATTTCACGCTGGTATTCTGTGAGAGCGTGGTCCTTCCCCGGTCGAGCCGACCCATTCGTGCTACAACTATACTACTAATATAACTGCAGCATGGCTCTACCACGTAGAAAAATATTTAGGTATTTAATAATCCTGTTTTTTTGCCTTTCTTTGACAAAGTCCTCCAGCTGTCTACAAATTTCTAGTACCAGCTGTTCTGGTCCATGTTCTGTATTGATGTTATCAACCCATCTTCTGAATGGTCTACCTTTTTTTCTTTCCTTGTATCTTGTACCAATACGTTATTATTTTGCTTTCCATTAACTGTACGTTCTGTCCATCTCTATTTAAGTTTCTTTATGTTGACTGTCGCATCTTTTGTTGTTATATATTTCTTTATATTAGTGGTATTCACTCTGTCTGATAATCTTTTCCCCACTATGCTTTGCTCTATTGCTTTTTGACATATTTCTAATTTTTTAATAAGGGTTTTGATGAGTGCTCAGGACAGGTAAAATACAACTGTCAAAGAGTTTGCATTTGATGGTCATGCTAGTATATAGTAGTGGTATAAAGTAGTGGACTTCCACATTCTGATGTTTAAGAAGTAGATGAATAACAGAAAAAGTAATTATAAACATCAATTTGATATTTGCTAACAGAGGAGTAGGTGCTATGGAGATAGTGGCTATGGACATGAAACTACGGGGCATGTACATCGCACGGCAGCTTTCCTTCCACGGCGTTACCTTCAAGATCGAAGAAGTGCCGCTCTCCGACGCCTTTAAGGAGACCTACGATAAGGCTGTCGCTTTGGTGAGTCCGTAACACTGTCCCGAAATAACACGATTATAAGCTCTGAAATGACTAACTTTGCGATTTATAAGCATATCTTTGATATATTAAAAAGCAAAATAATATGTTACGAAAGAAAGGGGAATGAAAGTGAACGCAAGTAAGACGAAAGTGATGGTTTTTGAAAGAGATGAAAGCAAAACGGTATGTGAAATAAGAATAGAAGGAGAGTTAATTGAGCAAGTGGATGAGTTCGTATATTTGGGATGTGTATTCAACAGGGATGGGAGATATGATAAGGATATTGAACGACGAGTGAATGCAGGAAATAAAGTAAATGGGGCTCTACACTCTATTGTGAAAAGTCAGAATGTGTCAAAAAAGGCACGTATGGCAATTCACAGAGCTGTATTAGTCCCTACTTTAACGTATGGTAGTGAAAGTTGGGTGAGGCAGAAGAAGCACGAGAGTAGAATAAATGCAGTAGAAATGCGGTCGCTAAGGAGTATGTTAGGGCTGAACCTGAGTGACAGGGTGAGAAACTGTGTGATAAAAGAAGAGTGTGGTTTGCAAGATGATGTTGTGACCAGGATTAAGAAAGGATTGCTTCGGTGGTTTGGTCATGTAGAAAGAATGAATGCGGAAAGACTGACAAAGCAAATATATGTTGCAGAACTGAATGGAAGAGTCGGAAAGGGACGTCCTAGGCGGAAGTTTGTCGACAAAATTGGCGATATACTAAAAATGGGCCAAATTAAGAGTACCCTTAACCGACGAGCATGTATGCGTAGGTATATGGATGTGGAAGAGGCGAGAAAGGTATGTCAGGATCGTGCTAAATGGAAGTCTGTAGTCTCTGCCTACCCCTCTGGGTGACAGGCGTGAGTGTTTATGTATGTATGTAAACTTTATCGACCTAGTGAAAAAATTTAGTACGGTAGTAAAAAACAAAAACGTCACATTTTCTTGTTTTCCGCGGCAGCATTATTTAACCTGCATGAGACAAGAGATGGCCTGCAGGGTCAACCAATTTCTTTAACATGGCGAAAAGCCTACGCATACCCACTACGCGGGGCAAGAAGTGTTATGTCGGACTCACACCGGCTAAAACCTCAAGGTGTTTCTACCTTCGTCGCGTGTCGTATAAACTCTTTCGCACACGTCCGTACCGGCCTATAGCAGCCCCTCCATGAAAGAGCACTTCCTCTTCCCTATCTCCTTCTCAGTCTGAAGTGGGCTCGCCACTCCGGGTCGACTACGGCTGAAACCCGTTTAAGGGGAATTCTACTAGGCTAGTATAACTAGGCTTCAGTTCACATTTTATTCACGCAATGAAATGGTTCATGTCTATCCCATCTCCTTAAATTTCTTTATCGAAAGAATCTGATAGTCGAATCTTTAATTTTTTTTAAAGAAACATCTTTATCATAACTGCACTTTTACACTGATTTATATTGATTGTACTTTATAAAATAAAAGAAGAATTATATTTCGTAAAAACGTTTCACTTCGTACGTCTGTACACAATTACACGCACAATATTTTTTTATTCTGCTTTTATTTGTCATACCAAGTATACAAATTGTTAAGTAATATTCAAAAGTCAGCACATTTACTTATAAATATTAATAATGGCATTATAATCAGAGTTCCCACATCATCCCGTAGTTGTCGTAATAGGCGAGAGAGGGAAATAAAACAAGCCATGTGTCGCAGCAGCTTACTGATAACTACTCAAAGTAATGAAACAGTATGCTTGCTAATTCTCCGGACAAAGGCGACAACTGTAGCAAATATGGGGGATATTTGCTACAGTTGTCAGTGTTATGACGAAATTTATGGGAAAAGCCTACGTTCAACTGACTGGACTTGATTGGTTTTAGTGGATAAATATAATCTGAAATGCGCCAAACCCCTGAACTGAAAGCTTTAAAATAAATTCTTCTGCTCAATATTGAATAAAAAATCCTCTATTTATGATCTGTTCTATAATTTCTTTATCAAAAAGAATGTTAACCTCGCACGAGGAGTTTCTCCTGTATCACGGAAACAGTTTACATGCAAAAATTGCACTAGGACAAACACCCAGTCCCGGAACAATTATTTGTAGGATGTAATAAATATATTGCTCTGTACGGGATTAGAACCCCGCGTCCCTCAGTGTCGCAAATCAATCGTCTTGATTATTTTGAAAGTCATTGTCCGGTTTTCAGACACAAAAGTAACCTATTGTATACCTATATGTAGTAAACAGGACAGTGAAAGGGCTTATATTAGCTTATAAGATAATAAAATATTGTTTTTAGTGGGTAGAAGCAATGCAGCGATTCACGGAGGCGGCCGAGTTGATCGACGCAGAGTCGCGCATGAAGAAAACCATGTGGGGGCAATTCTGGTCTGCGCATCAGCGTTTCTTCAAGTACCTCTGCATTGCAGCTAAGGTTTGTTAATAAATCTGCATCTTAAAATTTATATTTAGGAAAGCAAAAAGAAAACCGCCGAAAACAAATGTCCATAATTGGATACATATAATAGTTAGTTATGAAAAATTACTATTTGTTTTACTTTTATAATGTGGCTAACCCTATCTATATTGATTGTATCACACTGATTTATTAATTCTTCAATGAGTGTAATACATTCTATTATATGCTGTATTCGTTCTAAGGTGTTTCAGCTTAACACAATTCTTTTTATATAAGTGTTTCTTGTAATGAGCTTGCGACTTAAAAAAAATGTTATGCATTCATGTAAATATATAGGAGAAGATGATACGGTATGTTCGAACATTGTAATATAATCAAAAACGAGATTATGTACCACATGAGTAGTGAAACCGACCAGAAGCGAATCTTCATACAAGCTTAAGGCGCGAGTGTACGTGAGCACTGGTGGCTCATCACGTACAGAGAGAACTCCGGCTCCGCTAGGCATCTTGCTTGTTTTCGTTTCTCGATTCATTTAAAAATAACAAATGAGTAATGAATTGGTGTCATTGTAGGATTTGTCTACACATTTAGTATGTATGTAATATAAAATGATAATGAAAGATGATATTGATAATAAATGATAAAAATAAAATGATATCGACTGATTCCATGGGGTGTTAAGTGCACATTTTACACTTTATAAACAACACACACTAACTTTATAAAAGTAAAGCATTTACAATTTTGCCGCGTTTACAAAACTCAGCGCATTACAACGCTTACAAATTTGCCACAATAATTAGGCGTATGACAGGAATGCTGATCCGGCGCCCGCACCCTGCCTCTAACCCCGCGCTACGCTTCTACTGCCTTATTAATAAAAATTGCTTATTCCAAGCTTAATTCGAAGTTACACTTGGACTAGTTAATCTCAGAGTAACTGACTATTTACTTCGTTATTACAATGTTATTAATAAACATGGCGTAACCTCGGACTAACAATACATTTCTTACGCCGGGATTAACGCTTGCGCTAAGGCAACCCACTTATTTTAAAAGTAAAAATAGTGAGTCAGTGAATGATTGGTGAATGAATTCAATGCTTGATGACGACATTAATGATAGTGACAGGCAATATTTTGAGTTTGACAAGAGATACGTGTTACGTATGGAGTGTAGAAGTATGGAGTACAGACTCTTATAATAGAATAGTTGAAAAAGTGGTCATCTGTAAGCAGTAAATAACAGCTCAAAAACTATCCACAACAGCGCTGGAGTAGCTACTGGGATGAAATGAACTTAGCAGTTGTCGCCGGTATAAGTGCTCAATATAGTAAAGTATAGTAAAGTGTCAATAGCTCTAAAATCTAAAATACATTTATTTAGTTAATATAACCTCGAAAAAGTCGTCTATCCTACTAATATTTTTCGGCACGTTCTTTAAAATTTAGCTCGTAGTTATAGTGGGGCCACCCTTATTTAACGGTTTTCTATGGACACTTTTTAATACACAGTCTGTACTCCTTACTTCTTCACTCCATAGTGTTACGTGTTGTTCCTTGTTCCTCGTGTTGTTTTCGGACTCGGTGGAAAAACAAAGTTCTAACTATAATCATTTTTAATATTATTTGTAACGTAAAATTACGTTATGAATTAAGAAAAGAGCGTGAAGCAAAATTAATTAAATAACCAATTTTGTTTTGTTTTTGGGGATAATTAAAATCTTTTGTACATGTACATCTTTTGTATTGTATATTTATTTAAAAAAATCGCTAATAAATGCTGCCCGAACAGAATTTCCTCTAACAGAGTTATTTACTAATTGTGTGACTGTTACATTTTCATTATCTCCTTATACTACATCCTCAAGCAGATCATTGTTCTACAGTGTTACGGGCCCAGATGTGCGACTGACTGTACATTTAATGATTTCTTAAATTTACGCGAACACTACACATTGAATAAAACTATTATTTACGGATTTTATCGCGTTTAATTACTTTAATTTATTTTTATTATTATCCCGACGTTTCGGGTGCTTTACATTACCATGGTCACGGGGGGGGGGGACTGAGATGTTTGACGTCCCAATGTCATAGTTAGTCCGGCTACCTTCAGTTTTTTTAATATTAATTTTTGGTCCGATTTACGCAAAACGAGCTTATAGTGTCATGAAGTCTTGCAGTGGTATGCTTGGGTTTGGTTTTAATTTTGTTAATTATAGGATCCCAAGCAGATGGTAGCACCCAACCATCTTCTCTATTGAAATTTGGATGTTTTTAATTTAAATAGCCTCGCGTATCATCCTTGGTAGGAATCGGTGTTCTTTTGCGAGAATTTGTGGTTTATCAAATCTAATGTAATGGTGGGGACGATCTTGAACATGTTCGCAGACTGCAGACTTCCCGGAGCGTCGGTGCTTCACATCAGCTATGTGTTCCTTCACGCGGGTTTTTATAGATCTCTTTGTTTGACCTATGTAAGAGAGACCACATTCACAATCTAGTTTGTACACACCTGCATCTTGTAGAGGAATATTACATTTGATGGATGGTAAAAATAAACTAATCTTCTTCAGCGGCTTGTAGTATGTCTTAATGGACGCTCGCTTCAAGATGTAGCCAATTTTGTCCGTGACTCCTCTGACATGTGGTAGTAGAGCAGGCGCGCGCTCGACTGTGGCCGGCTTCACTCGTTCACTGTGACGTAGGCGCGGGACCCGAAGCTTGTTGTCTTGCAATATTTGCTTGACGTGCTGAAGCTCCGCGGCCAGATGTTTTCTGTCACAGATCCCTCGTGCTCTCTGAAACAAAGATTTACTCACGGTAGCTAACTGTGAAGGATGATGGTGAGATTCACCATCATCCTATATTGGGATATCCTTGGGATAAGAGTGAATAAATAAGGAGTACAAGCATAATCAGAATCTCCGACAAGTCTGCCTTTAAATTCTGACTGCTCAAACGTTTGTTTTAATGGGACTTTCATTAAATATTCTTGAGTCATGTGTGCTGCCTTGCCAATGTGCCACTATATCCATGATCTGCAAAATGTGCTTTTGACACAATCTGGAACAAAGTACTCATAACTTCTTTAATATGAAATAATAGATTGAGATAATTGTATTGAATCTAAGAAAATAACTAAGTATCTATATGGAAAAGATGGGCTAGCTAGGGCGGTATGCCCCTAACATATGAGATTGACACGTACTGTCTGTACTACTAAGAAATTCAGGACTTCATAGGTGTGATTTTACTGACAGCTGTCGCAGAGATCAAGCTATCTTTTATGAAGTATAGGTACCGCCAAGGATTAACTTTTATTCCGAGAGTAGATTCGGATTAGATTACACCCTCCTTACTCTATGTTTATTAATACTGAAATTAGATATTTTAAGCTTTAAACTAGGAGTAAAGTTAATCTTGCTTAAGTCTGTTTTTACTAATAGGGCTGATAGTTACCAATCACCGTTCCGTGTTCCCTCCCGAGTTCTAATGACGCCTTAGCTGTCATGCTCATGCACCTTATTGTTTTAGTCACGAAGGATGTATTTTTACTTTATAATCATAAAAATGTTCGAGTAGCTCGTGTGTACAGTTGTGTAAAATATAAAAAAGTTTAAATATGGTTGTGTTTGAACATTAATATAACGTATATACGGGATGTTGTGTAAACACCGTTGTCACTAAAACCATAGGTAGTTGGTTTTAATATAAAAATAATAATCCGAATATATATATATATATATATATATATATATATATATATATATATATATATATATATATATATATATATATATATAATTAGAACACTGACCTCTATATATACAAGTACACTGGACTGGCTATACCATACAAAATGACTGTGCCAATTTGAAGCGCCGCTAAAGGATGTCTTGAAAAATAAAATTGACATAATATGCCAAAGTCTGTTGTCTTATTTATATTGTCTTATTTCATAAGCCCTGTATTTTGAACTTTTAAACTAAAAAACGAAATTATTTTGTTGTTTGATTTTTGTATAATATTAGTTACACGATAAGAATTATTTTTATTAATAATGAGAGTGTGCGTAATCTGTAAAACTCGTTACCAAAAGCGAAGTGGTATAACATTTCACAAGTAAGTGAATTTGCAGCAAATATTAAAGAAATTAAAACTATTTGATAATATAAGTACTTATAAATGTGTTACTAATCTTAACATCATATATACCAACATGTTTGGGTTTATATTACTGAGTTTTGATAAACAATAAAATTCACTAGGGTTGTCGAGTTCCTTGTCTATAATAATTATCGATGTTCTTTCGTACTCATATCTGTTAACATACAAAATCGCCAACAACGGATGATTATCATATGTTTATTTAATTAACAGGTTTCCAACTGAACCTAGAGTAAAATTATGGCTTAAAAGCATAAATATTGTGAATTGGCGTCCGAAACAAAATGATCATGTTTGTTCCAAACATTTTACAGACGACTGTTTTATTAGACATGAGAACTGCACCACTTTGAAAAAGTGCGGTATACCGACAATGTTTTTTGGTACCAGTAACCAGTAAGTATAAAAGTATTAGATTATTATTTCGAATGTTTTTTTATTTCTTCTTTCCTCATTTTCCACCACATTCAAGGGCCAAAGACAAGTGTCGAAAGATCGCCTGATGATGTCGAGCCACGTTGGATGTGTGTTAGTGGGCTGCGGTTAGAGGAGATTCCTCTCCCTGGACTGCTGTAGTCGAGGTGGAGTCGTAAGGGAAGAGGATTGTTGGTATGACGATTGATGATGTGCCACTCGACTATCTTTTGCGACTTTGGTGAGGCTGCACCACTTGCTGCTTTCAAGTGCTCGTTTTTTTCTGGCTCCATTCACATATCGGGCTCGGGGAGTCCTTAGTGCAGCTCGTATCTCTATAAATATTTCCTCGGTTTAAGATCTTTGTAGAATATTTAGAGAAGATACCAGAAGGCTAAGTATAGCCATTCAGAGAGGACACGTAGCCAGCATTCTTGGGACAATACCACAGAAAGTAGGACTCAATGATAATTTCAGTTATTTTTTTAAAATACTGTAATTTCAATTTCGAAAATGACGATTCAATGTTTATTTTTTTTATATAATCGTTCCCGGCGCATTGCTGCCGCAGAAGAAATAATTGTGGAAATATCGTTAAAAATGTGGAACAGTTATTATATTGTTTAATTAGGAATGATAATACAATCATTGAATTAGAATGATATATAACTTTCTATAACTTTCAAATAAATATTCGGTATAATACGCACGCCACCTAGTGTCAGTTAATTGTACCATGCGTATAACCTTCGCACAAGTGCAACTAATAAGTTGTCTAAGTTTGACCGCAATCTGATGAACGGTATGGCATCGTAGAAAGTACGAACAAACATAAATTTTTATATAGTAGAAAATATTTTACTGTCCATAGACAGACCTGTAGTTGATTAGAATAGGCATTATTATAGCAGCTGATTTGTTTTTTATAATACTAGAACTAAATGAACGGTTGACAATAGGTTATTCTATAAATTATGTTTTTATTTTTATTTTCTGTAGTTCGTTTAATCTTAATAATTTTTTGGTTGAATGGTTAAGGGCTATGATGGCTGTCCGAGTACAGAACCAGAGTACAAAACTAATCCAACTGTAGAGAAGTGTAAGACGGGGTGACGTTATATCGCCGAAACTCTTCACTGCTGCATTGGAAGAAGTTTTCAAGCTACTGGACCGGAAAGGATACGGTATTAACATCAATGGCGAGTATATAACTCACCTTCGATTTGCCGACGATATAGTCCTTATGGCAGAATCGCTGGAGGACTTAAGCAATATGCTCAATGACTTCAATAGTGCCTCCCAATGGATGGGTCTTAAGATGAACATGGACAAAACAAAGATCATGTTTAATGTCCATGTCACACCAATGCTCGTAGTTGTTGGGAGCACTAAGCTCGAAGTTGTTGACAAGTACGTTTACCTGGGACAAATAGTCCGATTAGGTATGTCCAACTTCGACCGAGAGGTCAATCGACGGATTCAACTCGGCTGGGCAGCGTTCGAGAAATTACGACACATCTTCTCGTCAGGCCTATGTTCAGCAGTAGACTTGTGAAGAGTTTTAATGATGATGAATGATAATGGCATTATATTAATATGACACATAAATAGAATGGACGTTACGGGTAGAGTCTATCTATCCATAGAGTCTATTCTATTTATTTAGGTATAGGTAGGGTATAGAATTTTTATCGATATAATTTGGTACACTGTCTTATCCCTATTATTAGTTCCGTGGACGTGCACTTCTGCTGTCAGCGCCAAAATGGCGGAAATCAAATCGCTTCAGTATCTCACGGTGTATAGCCAGTCCAGCGTACTTGTATATATAGAGGTCAGTGAATTAGAAGTTATTATAGGGTGTGCAATAATATAACTTGTTCAAAGTAAACAAAGTTAACAATAATATTTAATTTATTAGTTATCGCAAAGACGACCCCTTGAGGTAATTAGTACTTGATCACACAATCGTACGTAAATTTATAGCATTTGTTGAATTGCTTGACCAAAAATTTTGCGAATATTTTGATTTCGAAATAATCATCATTATTGTTGATACCTATATTAAGAGGTATTCAAACTTGTATATGCCATGTGAGTGTTTCCTATGAAATTATTAAGGAATTAATTTTATTTTACCTTTAAAGTTTACTATTCAACTATAAGACAATAAATTATTCAAAGTTTTAAGTTTGTGTAAAAATATTTTATCATAAGTACATAATTAAAATCTGATAAACGTTTAGTTTACTTAGTATTATCCTCCTGCCTCAAGCCTACCAAAATAGTTAAAAATTTTGGTCGCTCCTAAAAGCTTTGCCTCTGCTCGGTTTCTTTACTCATGTGCTATGTAGACTACACACACAAACTTACGCAAATCGAATAGAAAAATACCAGAAACAAGACACACTATGATCACAGTTTAGACCTTACAATTATGAAATGCATTTGATATTAGGCGATGCCGCCGCCCGCGTCGGTATTTACGCGGCCAGCGTGTATGCCAGGGGTTGTCACGAAAATGAAAAAAAAATAATTTTGGATATTATAATGAAATGAAATGAATGACTTTTGTTCAATATAAGTTATTACATAATACTTATTGAAAGTCATTTTTTATTTATAACTGGTTTGAACATACCTACCTCTGTCCTGGGAAGATCCTGTAAGAAACCCAGCGGGACTATTTTTGATATATGATTTTTCGTATAGTCAGTATAGGGGCGATCACCTCATTCCCAGGGGTTCATTTATGCATTCTTTGATATTGTAATAACCCTTTTTGTACAATTTTCTGCTATAAAACATTTAAACTGGTTTATTGACAAATTTTGTACCGTTTCTGGGATTTCGTAGTAAAAACGTATATATAGCCCCATAAATGAATTACTAATTTTATGGAGTCTAATAACCAGGTATTACAAGCTTATGTTTGTTCCTAGTGTTTATTATGAACGTCTTTATTATTATCACGGCTATTCATGTTTTATGTCATTACATTTTCATAAATATATTGCGTTGCTAACGTTAATATGTTTTATTTCTTTTAAATTTTTCTCTAAGGGACTCTTTTCAATTTAAGTTACAAATCGCTTGTACGGCTCTCTTTTGCAAAACAAATATGGCTTGAATGTCAAACGCATTGCCCCATAGTAAAATTTTGTAAGACATTACGATGTAGTAACAAGTAACATAGTAAAGTAACTAAAATAACTTAATCTGGCTGTCTCAACATTGGTGAGACTTGTAATCTTTTTTACAGCATACTACACGCAAGTAACAACCGCACTTCTCATGAGATTGTTTTATATTTATAAAGCAATTTCAACCAATAGTGCATAAAACTGAGGTTGAAATTCGAACAAAATGCATAACATGACAGCTAGATAAAAAAATTAAATAAATGTAACGAGATTATATTTTATTACCTCTGCATTTCTCGCGCCAAACTGCCAATTCGTCGCGTGCAAATTCCATTATCCAATCAAATAATAATGCAGTGCAGTGCGGTCGTGTTTATTTACGAGGGCGGCACTGAAAATTTCGGGAATCAAGGAAGTGACAAAACATTACTATTTAAAAATGTATTTATTGCTTTTCGAAGTATTCTCCGCGAAATTTGACACATTTTTCCATACGATGGAACCAATCATTGAAGCAACCATTCCATTCGGAAGTTGGGTCTCCAAAATGGCCGTTTTGTTGTAGGCCCACAGCTTCTTCAGGTGATTAAAATCTCTGTCCACGCAATTTATTCTTTATTTTAGGGAAACTATAGAAATCATTAGGGCTCCGGTCGGGGCTGTACGGCGGATGGTCTAATAATTCTATGTTTTCTTGCTCTAAAAACTCTTTTGTTCTCGTGTGAGAACTCGCATTGTCGTGATGGAGGATGATGCGGCGGTTGCAGTTCTCTTTACGGAGTTCAGAAACGACCTGTGGCAAACAAATGCTAGCATACCATTCCGCATTAACCGTTCTTTGTCCCTCAAGAGGTATAGTCGTAACATGGCCGGTTTTGGAGACAAACGTGGCCACCATTTTTTTTTTTGCAACACTCCGTGAACGAACAATTTTTGTTGACTTTAACTCATTTTCGAACACCCAAACTCGTGACTTGTTTTTTGTTTCGGGTTCGTACGCGTATATCCAGGATTCGTCACCTGATACGATGTTGTATACAGCATTTGATGATCCTGCGTGGAATCTTCGAGAGTTCTGACGCACCAAGTAACGCGAGCCGCTTTTTGCTCTTCACATAGCGAACGCGGTATCCATCGGGAAAACAACTTTTACACCTAATTGTTTATACAAGATTATTTGTATTTGACTCATGCCAATGTCTAAAGTTGCCTGAATTTCGCGGTATGTCACATGTCGATCTTCCTCAATCAGCTTACGCACAGCATCACCGTTTTCTTGGGTGACTGCAGTTTTTGGACGACCTTGACGGGGATCATCACTGAGCTTGACACGTCTACGTTGAAATTAGCAAACCAGCGATAAATTGTGGTTTTGGATGGGGCTTCATCACCAAATGCAGAAATCATCCGATCAACACACTGTTTTTGTGTTAAACCACTTCGAAAGTCATAATAAATCATCGCTCTTGAATTTTCTCGAGTCAATTCCATTTTCTCAACGACTAAACAAGTTTGACAAAACCTTGTGACAAGACCGAGAATCATTTTTAAATAAATAAATGGTATTCGATTTTAAAACCAAGGAGTTTTCAATTAAAAAGATTTTAATATGACAGGAACAGTGGAAATATTCCATTCCCGATACTTTTAGTGCAGCCCTCGTATTATTATGCCATTTACTGTCCATTTCATTTAGCATTAATTATTATAAAATGTTGGGAAACACTACATTATTTGGCCCTTCGAGCTGGATGCAGTAAAACGCCACAGCGTGTTTAAATTTAACTTATGATAATTACAACTTATAATACAATGTCATAAGGTCGATAAATACTTTAGGCGTTATTACGTTGATTCGCAGGTGAACCACGCGGTAGTGACGGCACGCGAGGCGGTGAAGTGCGGCAAGTGCGTGGTGATCGGGTTGCAAAGCACAGGCGAGGCGCGCACGCTCGACCAGCTCGAGCGCGACGACGGCGAGCTCAGCGACTTCGTCTCCACCGCCAAGTGAGTGCCCGCACCCCTCCCCTCTCCTCCCCTGCAGCATAAGTACGTGTTCACAGTACAATAGATCGGGCTGCAGAGCACGGGCGAGGCGCGCACGCTCGACCAGCTCGAGCGCGACGACGCGAGCTTAGCGACTGCGTCTCCACCGCTAAGTGAGTGTCCGCACCCCTCCCCTCTCCTCGCCTGCAGCATAAGTACGTGTTTACAGTACAATAGATCGGGCTGCAGAGCCCGGGCGAGGCGCGCACGCTCGACCAGCTCGAGCGCGATGACGCGAGCTTAGCGACTGCGTCTCCACCGCTAAGTGAGTGCCCGCACCCGTCCCCTCTCTTCCCCTGCAGCATATGTACGTGTTCACAGTACAATAGATCGGGCTGCAGAGCACGGGCGAGGCGCGCACGCTCGACCAGCTCGAGCGCGACGACGGCGAGCTTAGCGACTGCGTCTCCACCGCTAAGTGAGTGCCGCAACCCTCTCCTCTCTTCGCCTGCAGCATAAGTACGTGTTCACAGTACAATAGATCGGGCTGCAGAGCACGGGCGAGGCGCGCACGCTCGACCAGCTCGAGCGCGACGACGGCGAGCTTAGCGACTTCGTCTCCACCGTTGAGTGAGTGCCCGCACCCCTCCCCTATCTTCCCCTGCAGCATATGTACGTGTTCGCAGTACAATAGATCGGGCTACAGAGTACGGGTCAGGCGCGCACGCTCGACCAGCTCGAGCGCGACGACGGCGAGCTTAGCGACTTCGTCTCCACCGCTAAATGAGTGTCCGCATTTCTCCCCTCTCCTCCCCTGCAGCATATGTACGTGTTCACAGTACAAAAGATCGGGCTGCAGAGTACGTCGGACGTCGAGCTCAGCGACTTCGTCCAAGTGAGTGCCCGCACCCCTTCTCTCTCTTCCTCCTCTGCACCATACGTGCTCACAGTACAATAATAATAACGTCCGAAAGGTTAGCCATTTGCGATGGGACAGGGTTAAAGTGCACGAGTGTATGTGCAAGCACAGATGCACTCAACAGTCCTTCACTCATAGTCCGATGGGACGGCAATCCGACACGACTAAACAGAAACAAAGGCTTTAAGTGCTTTCCAAAGTACATAAAGCCTTTATTTTTAAAACACACTTCCTACGCGCCCCAATATATAATAGAATTGACTCGAACTTATTTAACCCAGAACTTCATATCAATATATATAATAACTATATTGGTCGTCTTTAATGGGGACGAGTGTTGTTTTTATACAGAATATTACTGTTAAAAAGCAGTATTATGTTGTGTTCGTTCATTAGTATAAAAAACTGAAGTCTTTTTTACTAGTTCATTCCATTTAAGGCCTCCGAAGTGATTATCACATATATCTTAATCCATGATGGATGTAGGTGTCTTTAGACCACAGTATCTATTTACCGTCAGTGGACTGTGCCCGTTTATCACCCTATATCAAAATTATCTATTTGTATGAAACCATCTCTCTGTACATATAAAAATCAATGGCTATTCGTTAGTTAGATTTAGGTGAAATTTTTTGTATATGTTTGAATAGATCCCTAGATGGTTTAGATTCACATTTGAACTCGATATCCAGAAATCGCTCTTGTAAGCCGGGGCGGATCGCTACTAGTATAATAATTATGAATTCTCATCAACATTAGCAAATAAACAATCAGTTTGTTAGCCTAGCTATTTTTTTTGCATATACCTACATCTATCAATATATTTAAAGAAATCCTTTCATTTCCCTAGTTTATCTTTATGGCACCTATTAGAACGTAAAGGTATAAGAAATTTCATACGCTACAACTACTATCGTGGTTTTTTTAAATAGAATTAGGCTGACAAACGAGCACACAGTCCACCTGATACATTTAACCTCGATTAAGAATCAAAATGCAGATGCGTTGTCACACCTGGAGTACTAAGATGTAATGTCTCGTTTCCAGTAAAAAAGTTTCTCCAGATCTCTACACATACCATATGAAACACAGCAGTATTAGGGCCGATCCTCATTTGCCGATCACAGTTCTTTCTCGGTCTGATTTATTATAATGGAACTTGACTGTTATGGATAGTATGAATGCACACATATTGAAATAATACTAGGTTTTACGGATTTTATCGCTTATATCTAACTATAAATACCCGACGTTTTGAGCGCTTTACAGCACCCATGGTCACGGGAGGGACTGAGATGTTCAACGTACAAATGTCAGGTAACAGCGGTTACCATAGATAAAAATTTAACTTTTGTTCCTACTGCTAACTGTTGTAAAAGAAATCATTATGCACACACATATTTTTTACTTGATAATATTTTATCAGACCGAGATCAAACCGAGAACGAACTATGAACGGCATTATAATGAGGATGGCCCTTAAGCTGCTATTTTACGCTGGTATTATGTGAGAGTGTGTTCATTCCCCGGTCGAACCTACATTTAGTATAATGTATATTTTAGTCTTTGAAAAAAAGGTTACCATTTTGTCGACAGGGGCGTATTCCAGACGCTGGTGGAGAAGCACTTTCCTGCGCCGGACCGCGCCCGCATCAACCGGCTGCTGGGTCTCGAGCCCGCCAAGCCGGCGCTGGCGCCTGCGCCCGCACGCACGCTGGTACATAACGGACGCAACGGCGACGAACCAAACACTTCTAAGAGGAAGCGTAAGCTTCATTTTTATATTATTTATATTAATACAGGTTGTCCTAGAAATCGATATTGCATCTCTTTGCATTTTCTTTCGCATATACCGTGGAGAGTGCTCTGAGGAATTGTTAGGATTAATCCCAGCCGCCAAATTCCGTGAACGCACTACGCGGCAAACGTCCCGATACCATCCACACCATCTGGATGCTTGGCGGTCCACCACTGTACGTTTCAAAAGTAGTTTTCTTCCGCGTTCAACCTCACTGTGGAATAGTTTACCACCGGCGATTTTTCCGGACCGATACGACCTGGGGACCTTCAAGAACAGAGCTTACTCCTTTCTAAAGGGCCGGCAACGCACCTGCAATTCCACTGGTGTTGCGGTTGATCATGGGCGGCGGTAGTCACTTACATCAGGTGAGCCGCATGCTCGTTTGCCCCGTCTTCTAAAAAAAAAACTACTTTTAACTATTAAACAAGTTGCAATTTGCTTTCAACTGCACATTAAAACACAAATATCTTAAATATAAACTTTTCATTGGCCTGACATACGGACTGTGCGATTACGATACGGACTATTAGGAATCATATAAAAGTAATAATTTGTTGACAACATTTTAATATTATTTGGAGAAAATACCTCTCATAAATCAGCAAAATATTCTGTCCTATGTTTGAAATTTGGCATTAATAAGTTTAAAATAGTAATTTATTTACATGGTTTAATTAGTAATATTATGCTATACTACTACCTATCCCATATATGGTAGCAGGTATATTATGGTTGTAGCACGAATGGGCTAGCTCGACAGGGGAAGGATCACGCTCCACAGAATACCAACGTAAAATAGCAGTCCAGTTCTGCTGTGTTTTGTATGGTGAGTGAAGAGGACCGGAGACCCTTTTTTTCTGGAAACGAGGCATTTCATCTAGGATAGATGTAAATATCTATGGGCCACAGGATCCACTTACCATCAGGTGGACTTTGTGCTCATTTGTCACACTTATTCTTAAAAAAAGTGCATATTTGTAATAAATATTATATTAATTTAGCTTCTTGTACTCGTCCATATTTACTAATTATACCAAATGTCACACTCGCTCTTCCATACAATGTGCGTGTAAAGCACAAGTTGTAAATGATGAACAAAAAAAAAATATGGCATCAGAGGTATAGCCTCAGAAGGCATAAAAAATTTTCTAATCAATGGTAAGCAATGTTTTGGAATCACTTCTTTAAATGACAGTCATGAATGCAGTGTGCACAGACCATCCAGGGTCAATAAACATGGAGTTCCACAAGGGATTGTATTAGGCCCCTTATTTTTCTTATTGTACATTAATGACTTGCCAGATTCAATAAATTGTCAAAGTATTCTATTTGCAGACGACATATCTATAATAGTGCCATATAAGGATCAAGATACATCTCACGAAATAAAAATAAGTAAAGAGGTACAATCTGTATTAAGATGGCTAAAAGCAAACAAATTAAATGTAAATCTGTCAAAAACAAAATTCATTAAATTTAGTACAAATAAAAGTAAACGCGCTATAATAACAATAACACAAAAATAGAAAATGACAGTATAGAAGAAGCTGAGAGCATAAAATCCTTGGGTATAACTTTGGATAGATTTTGCAATTGGAAACAACATGTAAATGATGCTTGTCTCAAACTAAGCAGATTTGCCTATGCCCTTAGAAAGCTTTGGACCGTATCAGATAAAAGACAGCAGGTACAGCATATAAAGACTATGTATGTAGAGTCAATCCTTAGATATGGGTTAATAATATGAGGGAATTCGACTGATGTTGGTCAAGCATTCATTGCACAAAAGAAATATTTAAGAGATATTTGTGGAGCAAGTCCGCTTGAGTGGTGTAAACCTCTATTTAAAAACTTAATTTATTGACATTGACCTGCATGTATGTTCTTGAGGTATCAGTCTTTGTAAGGAAGTGCAACGATTTCTTTAAATTCAGGGGGGATCATGTAACTAAATACAGGCCAAGAGATCCTACTAAAATAATCTTGCAGAACAGCTTTAAATAAGTGGAATGTATATCATATGTGCATATCAGTTTTAATAAACTGCCTAAGAGTCTACGGGAACTTCCATTTAAATATGTTAAAATTAAGTTAAGAAAATGGTTAGTGGATAAGTGTTTTTATACGATACGAGAGTTCATGCAACATCTAATGCATATGATTACTTGTAAAATTAAATATATTGTATTATAATAGCAATAATAAGTAATTTAACTTGACATTTTTGTAAGTAATATAATAGTATTTAATTGTTTTATATAATTATAAATATTTGGATGCCTATTAAAGGCAGAATATAGCTTGAACTATGCACCACTGTTAAATCTGGTACCACCACATATTCTGTGCAAATAAATGTTTCTTTCTTTCTATATACAATACGTAACATAATTAACGCATTTTGAGAAAGTAGTTTGTTCAGAATCGTTTACTGAATCGATTCCTATCATTTTTAATATAGGTAATTTTTTATCCCAAAAATAATTAAAACTACGTAAATTACAGTCACACTAAATCTGTACAGTCAAAACAAACTGAAATGGACCGTAACTTAAGGCAAAAAGAGTTTTAGGAGTGCAGTTTTATTTGTACTATTACTAATTCTGTCATTCAATAAAAATAAAGAAAAATGAACTTTATTTCAAGAACGTTAAAGTCTTTGCGTTCGTGGATTTGTACTGTGACCACTACATTCTTCCGGAATTAAAACTTGATAAATAATCAGTGCATAAAAATGTTTAACTAAAAATTCAGTATATGTATTATGATTATAACATAATATACTAATTGATTTGTCTGAGGGTGTGCGTTAATTACGTTACATATTGTATAATATATGCACTTCTGTGTCGTGCGGTGCAGTGACGGCGCGGCAGCAGGCGAACGCGGCAGCGAAGCGAGCGCGCGGCGGCTCGTCGTCGGACGAGTTCGTGCGCGGCTCGGACGGCGAGGCGGGCGACGCGGACGAGGCGCGCGACGAGTTCGACGCGGCCGACGCGCGCGACGACTCGGACGACGAGCGCCGCCGCGGCTCCGACTCCGACCTCAGCGACTTCAACCCCTTCCACGCCGGCAGCGACAGCGATGACGGTAACCGACACCATAATTATCCACACAGCGCTACTAGTATAATTGCCGCCACGGGTCGTGAGCACACTTTTTATTGGTCGATATAACGTTGACCAAGCCGACGCTCAACGTGATTGGTCGTCAGTTCGTCTACTGGGTTCGCACGTGTCATTCGACTCCTGTACACTTGAGAGCAATTTTAGTGACAACTTTTTAGTTAGTTTTTTTTTTGTTAATTGTTGTTTGTGTATTTCTTGTTTTTAACTGTTTTTGATATTTCTTATTGTTATTTTTTTTGTTATTGTTTGAGCATTCGGATTTTGGTCTAAATATGCAGAGATGAAAGAATTCGGTGTTAAATAGACAATCCCGACAAATGTTGTTATTCAGTGTTTTGTTTCATGAAATAATTAGATATTGCGAAAAACATGATAGACGTTTATAAACAGACTGCTGACGCAACTAATGTCTACGTAGCTACTGTACGGTGTATAGTTAAGGCGACACCGTGAAAAAATGCATCTCCTTTCATCGAATAGTATAGGACTATGACACCACTAACGAAAGTGGAATTTTGATATAGGTAAATTCATGTCTTTATCTTGAATTTGATTGTTCAAAAACACGATTGTATAATTTTGACTCGATCATAATTATTTGCGAAAACACCTCTAAAAAATCACTATAGTTGAAATTATAACGAAATTACTTAATCTATATGCTTGGGAATCACTCAAATATATTCGTGACATCAATATTCATAATTTACTTGCTCATTATTTTGATTACTTAAATCAATAATTTAAAAAAAATATATTTTAAGATTCTGACAATTTCTAAGCGCTTTTAATCGTCGCGGGCGCTACGCTATTTTAGACCTTATGACGGCGTTTTTTCAAGTTTTTATAGAAATTATGTATTCACTCGGATCAGTACGGCGATAGCCTTTTCGATGTGTCGTCTTAAAGGAGTTAACGACTCAAAATTTCGAAAAGAAGTCGGCGAAAATATTCAATTATGAATTGAAATAACAAAAGTACCTAATAATTTTGGCCGACAGTGTGTCTACGCTGGCTCAACCCCCACCATATTTCATCTGTGTTCACGTTTCGTGCCGGCAACTATACTTATATTGATAACCGATTATTTTCATTATCGAATTTGAAATCGATCATTTTCATAATCAAATATTAATAGGGTATATAATCGCATAAATAATCGATTCAATATGCAATATCTTATATTATTTTCACGAAATTAAACATGTTGATAATCGATTATTTTCATTATCGAATTTGTTATCGATACTCGATTATTTTCAATATCGAATTGTAATCGATTATCGATTATTTTCTCAATCGGTTATTAATGGACTGTAACGACAAGTGATTATTTCCGATAAAAACGATTAATTATTTTAAAATTTTTAACAGAAACAGAAACTTTTTTATTGAATATGGATTATTAATAATACTTATTGATAGTCACTTTTTTCATTAACCACTGGTTCGCAAAAAAACCTCTATCCTGGAAAGCACCAGCTAGAAACCCTGTCAATTAGACAAATTGAAAATAAAAAATATATAGGAAAATCCATTTGACTTTTCAGATCCATGGGTTGGACGGAAAAAGAAAACGTTGAAAAAGAAAAAAGCAGCGTCTCCCAAGAAGAAAGCATCAAGCACACAGGACAAAATAGAGACAATGTTCGAAAGGAAGAACAGCACAGCACCAAACTCAGTTACGGTCACGACGGCCGGCGGACACAGTTTGACCGGAACACCAGTGGGGACAAATGGACTTTATCTTGGTAAGATTTTAATTTGATTTTTTTTTAAATTAAAAACAACAAAGTTGCCTTTGGTTTGGTAAAGACTTATTTTTTTATTATTATGTGCGAGCAGCTATGCAGGTCTAGGTAAAGAGACCAGTATCACTGCGACCTGGAAGATCTATTGTGATTGCTGCTATGGCTATAGTTCACTACTATGCCCTATGTCTTCAATGAATCGAAGGAGTTGCTTAGCCGTGAGCAATTTCACTTCTTCTGGGCTGAGTAGATAGTGTCCCAGATGAGTGTTACGTTTGCGCATTAAGGGTCCGCAATCGGTTAGGATGTGTAGAGGCGTTTCTTCCGTTATGGAACAGAACCGACACATCCTTGAGTTGCTTAGTCCCAGGATGGACATGTGCTTTTTATGACAACAGTGTCCAGTTAGGGCTCTTGCCAAAATGCGCAATTTATTTTTACTTAATCCCAGGACTTCTGAAGCGAATTTACGATCAAAAGCCCGGATTAAGGTTTTAGAATTTTTTAAGCCTGGTGTGTCAGACCAGATCTTAAGTGATTTATTGTGATAAAGAGTTTCAAGGGTCGATCGGGCTAGGCTTCTTGAGATTCCACAAAATGGCTCGGGTCCAAATTGTGTGCATTTGAGCCCTCCCGTGCAAGTTTGTCGGTAAATTCGTTGCCTACAATACCCTCGTGACCCGGAACCCATCTTAAAACGACCCTGTTGTTACAACCCAGCGCGTTTAAACGGTTCACGCAGTCTCTAATTAGCTTTGAGTTTACTAAGTTTGATCTCAGCGCTAGCAGTGCTGCTTGACTATCAGAGTTTATGTAAATTTTATGGTTGACGTAGTGTTTTTGCAGATTGATTTCCGCACACCGAAGTATGGCGAAAATTTCTGCCTGGAAGATAGAGGTGTATCTACCCAAATTCATACTAAATTTGAGTTTGAGGCGTTCCCCGTAAATTCCAAAGCCTACGTCGAGGCCCATTTTAGACCCATCGGTATACCATATAAGGCTACCAACCTCACAGATAACCTGGCCATTCAGCCAGTCTTCTCTGGAGGGTAATTCCACTATATACTTTTTATCAATAGACTTAACTTAGGTTACTAATGATTTTATGGTGCCACTGCAACGTCACAACAAAAAGGAATATAAATGCAAACTGGAACCTTGCGTCTTATACATTATAAGTTCATTTGTTGTACATCAACCAATAAATACTCCATTGCGGGATAAGCAGAAACAGAAACAGACACAGAAACTTTTTTATTCAATATAGATTATAAACAGTAAATATTGAAAGTCACTTTTTTTTAATTTCCCACTGGTACGGAAAAAACCTTTGTCCTGTGAAGAACCAGCAAGAAACCCAGCGGGACTTTTTCTAAAATATAAGAGCTTACAATCTTGTATATTATAGTTAACAACATGTAACATAACATAAACACTCACGGCTGTCACCCAGAGGGGTAGGCAGAGACGACAGACTTCCATTTGGCACGATCCTGACACATCTCTCTCGCCTCCTTCACGTCCATATACCTACGCATACATGCTCGTCGGTTAGGAGTACCCTCCTAATTTGGCCCGTTTTCTATAAATCGCCAATTTGATCGATAAATTTTCGCCTAGGACGTCCCGTTCCGACTCTGCCATTCACTTCTGCAACATAAATTTTCTTTGTCACTCTTTCCTCATTCATTCTTTCCACATGACCAAACCACCGAAGCATTCCTTTCTTGGTCCTGGTCACACATCATCTTGCAAACCACACTCTTCTCTTATCACACAATTTCTCACCCTGTCATTCAGATTCAGCCTTAACATACTCCTTAACGACCGCATTTCTACTGCGTTCATTCTACTTCTTGCTCTGCCCCATACGTTAAAGTAGGGACCAACACAGCATTGTGAATTGCCATACGTAACAACATTTAATAAATTAGAAATAGCTTGGTGGCAATCACCCTTCTCATGGGATACTATCATACATAAATTCCTTAATATTATAGTAACCCTTTTTATACAAACTTAGTTAAAGTAATAAAAGTTTTTGAACTTGTGCAGGTCAAATTTTGTATGTTTTCTGGTATTTTGTTGTAAAAGCGTATACATTGTCTCAAGAATGAATTACTGACTCGGTGGAGTCAATTAACTGTTACTACTAGTTTGTGTCTGTTCCTAGTATTTACAGAATTAATATCACTTATTTTTGTAAAATACTTTTATTTTTGTGTACATACATTACATTTTCATAATTAATATATTAATTTCTTTAAATTTTTGTTTGAGCGACTCTAGGTTTTAAATCATAGAGTACTCTAATGGCCCTCTTCTGTAAAACAAATATAATTTCAGTGTTGTCTCGTGTCCCCATAGCAAAATACCATATGACATTATGCTAGGAAAATAGCTAAAGTAAACTAGTCTAGCTCTCTCAACACTGGTATTTCTAGCTGTTTCAACACTAGCACTTTTACTAATCAATTTAATTCAAATAATTCTAGTGTGGTGGTAAGGTCTCTCCTAAAACAAACAAAAAAACACTATATGGTAGGTAGACTTAATAATTATAGCACATATGTAGTACAATTTTGTCGGTTCGAGCATTGTGGACAATGCTCTCACTCTATATTAGCATAAAATAGCTGTATAATGATGCTATGTTTCATATGCAAGTGATGAGAGCTTATTACCCTTTTTCGACAACAAGACTATAAATTTTATTCCTCAGGGGTGCCGGCGCGTTTTCTTCTCGATTCTTAATCTAGGATTGAAATAGGTGTGTATAGGCTATAACATCTATTTACCATTAGGCCTGGTAGTTGAACGTTAACATATTGCCAAAACATCACCTCTAGTAGGATTTTCTCTTGTATCTTGGAGGCTGTTTACACGTAGATTACATAAAGGACACACATCTGGATCCGAAACAGTTATTTGTAGACCATACAAACACTTCCCGGCCGGTTGCGAACCCGGTGCCCTATAAAGCCAATGTGGGTCCTCACGACCTTCTGCCACCATGGTAATTCCAATCGTCAGATTCCGTAGTGGAGGAAGTAAATTTGTTAGGAAAATGTTGGGGTTCAAATTTATTTATTATAGCTATATTTAATATTAATTTTTTAAAATTAGAAATAGACAAAATCAAGCAAATGGATATTCCTTAAAGTAGAAAAATTAAAAAGGGAGTTAAAGATGTGCGGAAAATTAAATTGCAAACCACTGAGTTACTGTTTTGTGTATTTATCTACCTTAGAAAGCGATAAACTTTTTAAAAAGCAATCTTTCAATTATAACGAAATTGTGAACAAATAATTTGGTTGAGTGTCAACTTACGTGGCTTCTACATAATATTAGCACTGTATGCACAACAACACATTATTTGCTGAATCGGTGTCCTTTGGTTATTGCAGTCTATTTCTTTTTCAAATATTCAGTCAAGATTATTTCTTTTTTGTAAAAGTAATATTTTGTAAAAGTTAGTTGCAGCAATTAATAAATATGTTATTTCTTTCTTCTTTCATTCTTAAATAACTTCACCTCAGTCCCAACTGTCCCAACAGAGAGCAGGAAGCTTATTAACCATGATTCCTCACATTCCGCTGAAGTTGAAATGCGAGCTGCGAATGATTGCTTGTAATTGTGTTACAGGTCCGTCGCGCAGCCAGCCGCCGCCGCGGTCCGCCATCGAGCGCGCGTGCAGCATGAAGGAGGAGCTGCTGGCCGCCATCGAGCGGCTCGGCAGACGTCTGCCGCCCAACACGCTCGACCAGCTCGTCGACGAGCTCGGCGGCACCGAGAACGTGGCCGAGGTACTGCACCATTGCACCGGCTCGCAGTTGCACACTTGCACACGGTCACACTCACATTAACACCCATACATACACTCGCACCACCTCAGACCCGATCGCACCTAGCATCTAACCACACCCACTTTAGTACTGTTACACTCGTCCACACTCTCTAGAATATAACCAAGGAATACCCAAAAATACACTGAGGGTTTGAAGTTCTCGACCTAATTGAGATTTGAGGGTAGTATATAAATAAATGTATACTCATTCGGTATATATAATAATAAATACTTTGATTCTTTATTTAATCGTATGTCAAGAGTCAAGTGCCATTGTAGTAGGTGATCTAATTATTTTTCTACGATGATTTGTTCGAGCTAATCTCATTTTCTTCCGGAAAATGCAAAAAAGTGAATAAGGAGCCGTGATTAAATATTTTTGTCAAAAAAGTAAAATATGATGACGCCAAGCCAAATCAAGAAAGACATATCAGTGAAACTGCACCTTCGTATTTTACAGTAAAAAAGTTGTCACTTTTATTCAAACAATGCAGAAAAAGCGTCTAAGATGACTCAAGGAGCGAGAGGCCTTCAACGTCCATCTCGTCAGAAATCATTGACGAAATCCACAAAATGGTTTTAGAAGACCGGGTTTTTCGTATTTTAACCGAAGAACTAGGAATGAAAAAGGTGTGTACCGCATTTGTTGACCGCCGAATAAAAACTCAACCGGGATGAAATCTCAAGAGAGAATCTGGCGTTGTTTTGATCAAATACTAGCAACTTAAGATTTATAACCACTGATGAAATTTGATTCATCACTATATTTCTGAGACAAAACAACAGTCAAAAAAGTTTTTCACAAACGAAAATGTGATAACTTAGGCATAGCGGTTTTTTGAGGAGTTAAATGAATCGGCCTATATGAGCGACATCACACATAGTCGGGACAAGAACTTTCAAACTGCCCCCATTCACCTACCCTGTTAACAACTGACCCACATGCGCTCGTACGTCCAGCGTCCCTTGCACACATCTTAACACGCACTACATCTCACTCACCCGCTCTAATATGTTAACACCCACCGGAAAATACTTTTATACTTCTACTATACCTGATAGCACCTGACCACACCTGCTTATACTCGTTGACACCTGCCCACACACAAGCACCTGACCATAACGAATCGTACTCGTTGACATCAACTAATATTCACTAGCATCTAACCACACCTGCTGACACACTGACACCCACCTACACCCGCTAGCACCTGACCACATCCACTCAAACTCGTTACCACACACGCACAACCGCCTCACATAAAATTATTGGCCACATTTTGGCCTGTGACATCCTGTTATATGTAACTTCAGTATTCGATTATCCTCAGATGACGGGTCGCAAAGGACGAGTTGTGCAAACGGAAGATGGGCAGATATTATACGAGAGTCGGTCAGAGGCAGATGTGCCTCTCGAAACCCTTAACCTTACCGAGAAACAGCGCTTCATGGACGGCGAGAAAGATGTGGCCATCATATCTGAAGCAGCTTCCAGTGGTATCTCATTACAAAGTGATAGGAGGTAAATACTATGTTTAAAAATATGTCTTGTGTTAGATTGATTTGTAAATATTTGTAGAGGTTAATTATTTCAAAACAGAAAAATGGGTGTTTGCTAATAATGAAATTTATAGAACATAGAATTAGTTATGTTTTCAGAGCATTCTGATTGAAAGTAGATTTTGTGGCACATATCCTTTACCACCTACATTTATCCTCGGTTAAAGTTCAAAAATCAGATGGGTTATCATTACCCAAATTAAAATGGAATGTTTTGTCGGTAAAAACTATCTCCAGTACTCTACACCCACCATATGAAGCAGCAGCATTATGATACTTTTTTTTTACGGTATTTTTAAGAACGTGGTTCTTCCTCGGCGTAGCTCAGCCAGTTGCAGTATGGCACTAACACGTAAACATCGTTGTTTGTATTTGTCACCAGGGCACGGAATCAAAGGCGGAGGGTGCATATTACGCTGGAATTGCCATGGTCAGCGGATAGAGCTATACAACAGTTTGGTAAGTGAAATTTACCTTTAGTAATTCATTAAAGTTAATAAATAAACGCCAATTCCATTTATATAAATATGTATTTGCACAGGTCGTACGCATAGATCCAACCAGGTGAACGCGCCGGAATACATCTTCCTGATCTCAGACTTGGCGGGAGAGCGGCGCTTTGCCTCCACGGTGGCCAAGCGGCTGGAGTCGCTCGGTGCGCTCACGCACGGCGACCGGCGCGCCACCGAGACCCGCGACCTCAGCCAGTTTAACATCGACAATAAATACGGTGAGTGAGTGAGTGAAAGCTGCACGTTAACTCGACGCGGCCAGGTGGTGGATATTGCTTGTTGTGCGATCTTGGCCTGTTCAACGTTGACAACAAGTACGGTGAGTGAGTGCGAGCTATACGTGGCCCGGTGACCAGTAGGCTGGTGCCGCTCGACGAACCACCGCGATGGGTGAGTGAGTGAATGAATGAATGAATTAGTGAGTGACAGCTACTTCCTTGGAGGTTAGAGAGAAGGATAACGATCGCTACGTGCTAAAGCATAGCCTGTCTGTCCCTGAACTGCCGTCGGTAAGTAGTATCTGCGAAGTTAGCTGTTAGTTGAATAATGTACAAATTGTCTTCGTGGCATTGGTGATAAAATAATCGTGCTCCGTAATTTTTTACTTTTTGACAAAAAAGAAACATTAAAAAAACGATGAAATATTGTATTGTGCGTTGTACAAGTGGTTTAGCATCTGATCAGAAAAATAGACTGAAAAAGACTTTTATTGAGACTACTTAGCGGTCGTAGCGCCTCACTTATTTTGTACATACTTCTGTGACACTATTTTCTACAGCGATCGTTCTCCTTTTCTCTAACCTCCATGGCTACTTCTGTTCTTGACTCGGCTAGCGGCTGGAGTCGGTCGGTATGCCTCCAAGACGTAAGTCCTCAGTCCGGTCAACATCGACAATAAGGGCGGTGATGGAATAAGTGAGAGCTGCACGTGGGCTCGACGCTGCCAGGTGTCTGTTGTCGTTAGACGCACTCCAGACGCGCGACCTCAGCCATTTCAAAAGTCTGATCCTTGTGATGTAATGATGATGATTGTCCGGCGACAGGGCGCAGTGCGCTGGAGGCGGTGATGAAGGCGATCATGAAGTACGAGACGCCGCTGGTGGCGCCGCCGCGTGACTACGCCGGGGACTTCTTCCAGGACGTGGCCAGCGCGCTCGTCGGCGTCGGACTCATCGTCAATAGTGAGAGTGCGCCAGGAGTACTTTCGCTCGACAAGGTACAAGGTCTCTACACTAACTTTGAAAAGTAACTTAATCAAAAGTAAAAGTTAATTTGAAAGAACTATTGTGCAGTGCATATTATGAATGTTACATAACTATTAGATTATTTAGATTAGAGATGCGAAGAACTTTATGACTGTTAAAGGCATTCAATCGTTCTCAGACACAGAGTAAAGAGTAAAGGACCAGAGGGGAAACTTCCTAAAAAAGTTGAAAATGGATACCTATTCTGATAGGGCTGTCACATGATGCATGTGAAAATTTTAAGAACATAAAAATATTACAATATAGTATAAAACAACATGTATATTCATTATAACTTATATTAATGTAACAACATATCTGTAAACTGTTCGAAGTCGAAGCTGTTTCGTATCGATTAATTTTAAATAATAAGGAGAAAAAATATTTTTAATGTATAAAACAACATGCGTATTAATTATAACTTATATCATATAATGTAACAACATAATATCTATTAATTGTTCGAAATCAAGAGCTGTTCCGTATCAATAAATTTTAAACAATAGCGATGTATCATCAGCAAACAAACAGGTACTTAAGTACATACTTCACTTATCAACAACATCCTTATTTTCTTTAGAATTATTCACGCATTCTGTACAACTATTAGGTATTTTTGCTTATACAGAACAGTTATTATTTACCTATATAAATTTATAAGTTATATAATATAATAACTTAGCTCTAATTATTTTTATTAAAATAAATCTTATTATTTACTAATTGGAAAAAGCTTAATTAATTAATTGATATATTAAATTTCGAAATATTGTTGGTCTATTTGTTTAAACGCGCACGATTAGAGCACGCCTGACAGCCCTTTCATGGATACTCTGGCTGAGCCGGCGCAAACCGGTTTGTACCCCACCGGAGCCTCGGTGAACCTGTCGGTGAGAGTTCACGCACACATCGCTGTGCAATGTATGGGTGTATTCGTGAGCCGTTTGTGTGTAGCTTCTCCTCTGGTCAATTTCTTTACTCATATGCCTCAGAGGTGACAATGCATCTGCATTTTGATTCATAATAGTAATAATAATATAAATCTTTATTGACATAATACAAGGTTACAAATAGCCTCTGAATCCTAAACTTAATAAGAATAAGAATTATATGTTAGGATTCAGCGCCTTCGCCCGTGTTTCTTAGCCTAATAATTTATTTCAAAACAAGTTTCAATTCTTAATCAAGGGTAGATGCAGATGTCTGGGCCACAGCATCCGCTCACCATTGAACTGTGTGCAGCTTTTTTACTCTTATTCTATAAGAAAAATCACATTCTGAAGTCAGTGCTTGGATTATAGTGTATAGTAGAATTAATGCTTGAATATAATTTTTTTATTATATTTAGTTCTTTGACGTCGGATTTTAATTTTTATTGAAAGTCAATTTTTTATCCTTTTGAGTGGGCTAAGGAATATCACTCTCATTGTTGTCTATATAGTTACATTAAAATTTTTATTCCCTGTTATGCTACCTTTATGGGTGGAATTTTTATAGGACCAAATTGACCACCCCTGAAGTTTTATCTTTTAAATAAAAAAAGGAATCATCAAAATCGGTTGACAATTATTGACGAAGATATCTTGTAACATACATACATACAAGAAAAGAACATAATTATAGTCGCATTGTAAACTCTTTTTTGAAGTCTGCTAATTAATTTGCATTTTTTATAATTTTGGTTGTTAAAAACATAGTGAAAACTCGCATGTACAGTAAATAAAGAAAGATTTTCAATGTGAAGTTCTGTCAAAAGATAATAAATCTTTTGGATTTTAGATATTATAACTGGTTTTTTTTTCAACTAAAAATGTGACAGAACATAATAGCATAAGTTTCATAGTTGTAAGAAAGTGCTTATATATTTTGTGTCCTGTTTTAACAATAATTATCTTTGTTTGCACACCACAGGATTACAACAACATGTCGAAGTTCCTCAACAGGATATTGGGCATGCCAGTCGATCTGCAGAACAGGCTCTTTAAATATTTCACAGACACATTGGCAGCAGTCATGGAGCAAGGTCAGAAATTATTTTACGATACTTTAAATGTTTCATAATTAAATTATGTTAAAAGAATATAAAACTGTATTTTCTTTAAGTCACAACATACTGACTGTGAGAATGTGAGCTCGCTCGTTACTCATGTTGTTTAATGTTTGGCGGCATTGCGTTATAGATTGATTAAGAAGCAGTATCACGCCCCGTTCTTTAGCTTTTTGGTGAGACTCTGGTTCTAACGTGTACCCTTTGCAGAGATCCACTTTATTAACTCGTATTATTTGTTCTAGACTGTGTTCGTTTATGCATGTAAGAATAAAAATAAAATATCCAGAAAGTAGTCTTGCAGAATGTTTTTGTAGAAGTAGATAATAGTACATTAAGTACACTTGTATCGTACATTATTTTATAGTACAAGTGATTTAAATCCATTTTTTTAATAGAAAAATTGGTTAAAATATTAAAATCATATCCGAATGAAGTTTTGTTAGTAAATACAGAGAATCTAAAAGTTTCGGTGCAAGAATTACAACATTAATCTAAAGATTTAATTAAACGGGACCTAAAAGTATAAACGAGATTTGATTTATAGAAAATTTGTATGATCCAGATGTTGGCTTATATGTAAATGAAATAAAATATTATATGTAAATAAATAAATTTATCAAACCTAAATTCACAACGGTCTTATTTTTTTAACAATTGTAATGTGACGGTAAATGCTAGTAATAGTAATTGTGTTTTTAATAATTGTACTTTAAAAAACTGTATTTTTTCAAGCTTAAAATGTTCAAAAAATTTAAATGACTTTATGTAAAGTATTTTTTTTTATATTTCTTGTTTACAGTACCGAGCATATTAATTGAATTAAACAACTTTTTCGCAAAAAATCATTTCATATATTTGGTCAAATGTACAATTTAGAAACTACTTAATATGCAATATAATATGCCCTCCCTTGGAAAGCACCAGTTTTCCGCGTTTGGGCATAGATTCCACCAGAGTTTTGCAGTTTTCAAGGATTTTTCATCCCTGTACCATATTTTAATTATAGAGCATTTTAGGCTGTTTTTTGTTCTGCAATCCATTTTTGCAAGCCTTTGCTTATAGATAGCCCACAAATTGTCTACAGGGTTTAGATCTGGTGAGTTCCCTGACCAATTCAACATATTCAACCAGTTCCTTGCGAAATATTCCTTTATTTTTTTTGAGGTGGGGCATGGAGCCAAATTTTGTCGAAATATGCCATTTCTAGATGGATATCTTTTCTCAAGCTCTGGTTTCATTCTTTCAATCATACTTTTTTCGTACTGGTTGCTTTTCATCATCCCTTCGATGGGAGCGAGAGGCCTTACACCATGGTACGAAAAACAACCCCAAAACTTTTTTTTCGGCGTGTTTTGCACGCCTGTTGGATATGAGCTGGTCCGAGTTTTTCTTCAGCACTACGACGCACAAACCTTACAACTTCTCCCTGTACGAAAAAGTGTCTTTCATCAGAAAAGAGTATCCTTTTCCAGTCCTCCACAATCCAGTCTTGATGTTTTTTCGCCCAGACATACCTCTTTTTCATCATGGCCTGGGTAAGCAGCTGTTTTTTGATGAGTTTGCGTGAAAATCTTCGTCGTCGTCGAAGTCATCGACGAACTGCGTTCACATGCAGTTTGATTCCATCCTCGTGTAGTTCGCGAGTAAGGTCCACAGCTGATTTTGTAGTGTAAATCAACCCTAGAGGGTTGATTTTACTGTTTCTAACCAGTAACACATCATCCTTGCATATTGTTTTTCTTTTTGGTCCACATTTTCCAATCCTATTCACAGCAACGGTTCCCGTTTCTTGCTGCTGCTTGATGATACGGTTGACAGTGGTCTGAGAGACCCTAACTTCATCTGCGATTTGTCTCTGGGTCTTGGTTGTATACTCCTTCAAAGTGATTATCCTTCCAGAAAATCCATGGTCACTAGAGTTATGCTACATAAGCCTGCAAAAATAAAAAAAACTAAGAATAACATTTACAGTATAAATAAATAGTAAAAATAAAGCAAATAGGATATACCTGTATGAAAAATATGCTTACATAATATCTCTTGACAGATTAATGACAGCTGATGTTCAGTGTTGCCATATTCGTCCGAAAAATGTCGCCAAATTTAAAAATGCGAAAAGTTTGCACTTAATTCAATTAATATGCTTGCTACTGTAAACGATTTAATGTTTTCTTTGTAATTTAAGATATTCAAGTTCTATGGTTCTGTATTTATCATTATGTTTTATAAGTATTTAATTTTAAAACAAATTATAAGTAAAAAAATTATTCGTGACTTAAGTATATACTGTACAATAATTGGCTAGCTAAGTCCCGCATGAGCGTTACTTAAACGTGGTTTTAAGTCACCGTGTAATACATTAATTTAATTTAAATTTTTTAAACATAATCCTTGTAGATAGACTCTCTTTAGTATCGCTTTTCAATATTTAAAAACTTCTTATTTTTAAATAAAGAGCATCAAAGCCCCCTTTTTAAACAATAAACTGTTTTTACATGTACCTAGTATGTACTAATAGTATAGTGTATTAAAAATACGTAGTGGTAGTTTTAATATAGAAATCAGGCACAAGTAGCTTTCAATGTTGTATGTTTACCCTAATTTTACTCTTATAATTTTTAACAGTAGCCTCCCATTAGATGGAGTGACGACCGCTGGTAAAACAGGAAGTCAATGGATGCAGGTGGCTCAGGACCGTACTTTGTAGCATTCATTGGGGGAGGCCTACATTCAGCAGTGGATTTGTGAAGAGCTCTAATGATATTGATTTTAACACTATAGAATGCATTTGAAGGAGTGAGTTTGCAACAGTAATTTCGTCCTTATAATTTTTATATTTATTGTGCGTGGTTTGTTTTAGCAAAACGCAGTGGTCGTTTCGACCTGGGCATCCTGGACCTGGGTAGCGCGGGCGAGAGCGTGAGGCGCGTTCACTGCGTGCGCTTCCTGCGCCGCCACGCCACCGGCCGCGCGCCCGTCGAGCTGCACACCGTGCACACCGAGGTGCTCGCACTTCACACTCCCACTTCACACACTGCCCGCTCACTTCACACACTGCCTGCTCACTTCACACACTGCCCGCTCATTTCACACATTGCCCGCTCAATTCACACACTGCCCGCTCACTTCATTCACACTTCACACTCAATTCCTGCGCCGCCATGCCACCGGCCGCGCGCCCGTAGTCTTCCCAACCACCCCTCGCCCTGCACACCGAGGTGCTCGCACGCTCACACTGCCCGCTCACTTCACACACTGCCCGCTCACTTCATTCACACTTCACACTCACTTCCTGCGCCGCCACGCCACCGGCTGCGCGCCCGTCGAGCTGCACACCGTGCACACCGAGGTGCTCGCACGCTCACACTGCCCGCTCACTTCACACACTGCCTGCTCACTTCACACACTGTCCGCTCATTTCACACACTGCCCGCTCACTTCACACACTGCCCGCTCACTTCATTCACACTTCACACTCAATTCCTGCGCCGCAATGCCACCGGCCGCGCGCCCGTCGAGCTGCACACCATGCACACCGAGGTGCTCGCACGCTCACACTGCCCGCCCGTCCTTCACCCTGCCCACTCACTTCATTCATACTTCACACTCACTTCTTGCGCCGCCATGCCACCGGCCGCGCGCCCGTCGAGCTGCACACCGTGCACACCGAGGTGCCCGCACGCTCACACTGCCCGCTCACTTCAAACACTGTCCGCTCATTTCACACACTGCCCGCTCACTTCACACACTGCCCGCTCACTTCATTCACACTTCACACTCACTTCATTCACACTTTACACTCACTTCCTGCGCCGCCACGCCACCGGCCGCGCGCCCGTCGAGCTGCACACCGTGCACACCGAGGTGCTCGCACGCTCACACTGCCCGCTCACTTGACACACTGCCCGCTCACATAATTCACACTTCACACTCACTTCCTGCGCCGCCAAGCCACCGGCCGCGCGCCCGTCGAGCTGCACACTGTGCACACCGAGGTGCCCGCACGCTCACACTGCCCGCTCACTTCACACACTGTCCGCTCATTTCACACACTGCCCGCTCACTTCACACACTGCCCGCTCACTTCATTCACACTTCACACTCACTTCCTGCGCCGCCATGCCACCGGCCGCGCGCCCGTCGAGCTGCACACCGTGCACACCGAGGTGCTCGCACGCTCACACTGCCCGCTCACTTCATTCACATTCACTTCCTGCGCCGCCACGCCACCGGCTGCGCGCCCGTCGAGCTGCACGCTCACACTGCCCGCTCAATTCCCTTCCCACACACTTCACACTCACTTTCACACTTCTCACACACTTGTCCATTCAGGTACACACTTCACACTCGTTTGTCAATTCAGCTACACACTTCTCACTCGCTTACCCGTTACGGCAAACTTTTCTCAGTCATTTGTTTATTCAGTCACGCATTCCCCACTAACTTGTCCGTTCAGTCACTCACTTCCCACTCACTTGCCTATTCAGTCACACACATCCCGTCTTAGCTTACGACACAAGTGCCCTGTAGTTAAACAAATCTAAGAAATACCTTTTGACGTTTCACATTAATCATTCGGCTTTAACTTTGCACAAGCACTCACAGGATTTAAAATAACCTTTTACGTAAATCCGAAGAATTGTGAAGTTATCTATATTTCATTACAACGTGTATAGTTTTTTTATCACTAATTTAAATTCGAATCTTTCAAACAAAGCAAAATATTAAAAAATAACCAGTATATATTATTTTAATTGACGTCGTTTCAATGATATGTCGCTATGAACCTTACCGTAGTGTTCGGATGATTAAAATCATTGTTATGCGAATAATCGGCAAAAATATTCAAATAATCGGTTAAAATATTCAAATAATCGAATCATTATTTTTTTAAATGTTTTATTTGTCATCATGAATAAAACAAGTTTTATTTTTTTACTTTGTCAAAGTAAATTTGTTTAGGCAAAAAAACTCAGATACAAGGCCGCTCTGAAAAAACCACAACGTAATTTCAATCTCCCGCCATTTCGGGAGCTTACTGTGCGTAATTTTGTGATTTTGTGTTGATCTTCTTGTTTTGTGACTCGGCTTTAACTTTTTGGACTGTTTCTTCTATATTCGTTGAAGCATGTGCGCCCACGTTACAAAGGATGATTAGGCAAAATTGGTAGATAAAAACAAAAAAAAAATGATTTTGAAAGAGACATTAATATTGATTACATTATTGAAAATCAAATAATAAATCATCTAAACAACGACAGCTTAACTAGTTGTACTGAAAGTGATTGAATTAATTTATTTTTAATCTAGTTTCAATCTTAAATTTTTATAACTGTGCCTCTAGAAATAAGCAGTAAAAACAAATACGAATAAACTGATGAACCTTGTATTTTAAATTATCCTTTTTAAATTTATTCTGGTATTATTTAAACCAAACTTACTTACTACTTTAGAGTTGGTAATCATTTACGATTACTAACTCTAAATAATTGATATCGATTTTTTTTATGAATCGAGTATTGTATGTTCCCATTTTTTGGTTGGCATGCTTGGTGCAATAAGTTCTGATAGCTCAACTAATTGGTTGTCTATAGTTGATTTACTGTCATTGTATCTGCAAACATAAGTCATAATACAAATGTTTACTCTTCAGTCGGTAGAAGTCCACTGTTGGATATGGGTCTTTCCCCAAGTAAATAGGATTTTTCTTAAGAGTGACTCTTGGCAAACGGATTTGCGATAACAGTAACAAAAGGCCTGCCTTCGTCTAGTAGTTGCAAGCGTGACTGCTGATTATGTACTCCCCAATCTGCCTTTGACTGGGGTCGTGCCAAAAATTATTTAGGCCCGACTTATGAAGTTGGCGATGTTTCAACTCCATGGAAATAAAATTATTGCAAACTATTAAACATTTTGTTTTAAAAAAGAAACAATTATTTACTTTTCAGCGCGGTATGGACTGGATGGAAGCGCTGGAAAAGGAGTCGGAACTGTCCGGGCCTAAAGAAGGCTTCTACTTGTCACAGCAGGCGCGCAACAATAAGTACACGGCCGTGCTGTGTGTCGCCGCACACACCAACACCAGGAAGGAGAAACTCACTAAGAAAGAGATCATGTTCCAGATATACAGGTAGTCTGTGGTTTACAGAAAGGACCTTTTCTACTAGCAATAATATCATGCCTCCCTGTATTTCATGACCATAGAAGTTTATTATAGTTTCAAAAATAAATCAAGCCGTTATTATTTTATCATTGCATGGCGATATACCTGAAAAATAATAAATTATATTTATGATATAATAATATTTATTATAAATAATATTTATTTTGCTTATTGAAGATTACATGGTCCCTTGAGCCAGATTAAATACAATTAAATATGATTTTTCATCATATTAAATTCTTGCGCGTATGGTACCAAATTATAACTACTACTACTACTAGTTTAACACCATTATAGTATCTTATTCGCTGCAGTAGGTGTTGGGGCTCTCTTTAACATAACTTCGAGATTTCGCAACATAATTCGGTGAAAGGAGACGGGCGAAAGTTCATAGAAAGCTGGGCCTGATGTTACAGTAACTATTACTGCATTATTTTATTTATATATCAATACTATTTAAACTGCTTCATGGTAGAAAAAAAAATAGGATGTTCTTGGTTTGTATCAAAACAATGTTATTGCTTATGTTATGCTTACAATGTTATTCTTACACCAAGCTCTTTAAGAAAATAATTATTAGACTTTATTGTAAACTAGATTTTACCATAATTTTATTTATTGTAGGACATACACACATATAGGATTCAGACGCCGCCGTCCAACCAAATTCTAGAGGTTTAAAATAATTATAAAAAAACAGAGGGTGTATGAATTAAAAATAATGATTTATTAATCGTCCACTTCATCATAAACAAACAAAATATCGTCTAAAAACGGTGCAGGCGGTATTAAATTCTCTTGATGCCTTGCCCAGCTTAGGTACAATATTATGACATTACATTACATGACAACAGCAACCTACAGTTCTTTTTCTTACCAAGCAATTAAAATAATGCTGTTTGATGGCCTCTCTACCATTAAGAGAACTGTCAACTAAAATATATGTAAAATATGTTTTGGAGCTGTTTGATTTGAATGGCTCAATTTCATACGACCTCTTTGAATGATTGGAATATTGACAGTTCTCTTAGTAGATAGCTGTCCGTTTTTCAACACACTTCTATTTCATATCTACCATCTTTTGTATATGTTCTGCATAGTGGGACCCACCTTGATAAATACCTAAAGATATTTTTATTAAATCACCATGTGTGAGCTGAGGGAACTCATTTAAGTTCATCATTTTGCATCAAGAAAAGAAACCGTCAGAATCCTTTATACGTAGACAGAGTCGTTAAAGATCAGAAAATTATTACAGCACACAAAAAGAACAGAAAATATTCAATACCACCGCAAGCTCAGACCCAAACAAACATAAAAAATGATTTGATTGACGTTTGAGTTTTCGAACTAACGTTGACATTTCCGCTTTGTGTCCTGTATAAAACATTGATAATCGATTGTGAAATCGATTTATTAATCTATTCAGTTAATTTCTTTTTACGAGTTTTTTGAAACGTTAAAGTGTCACGATGAAACATTATTCAAATAATAAGTCTAATTGAACTTACTAATTCTTAAACTTACATAAAGAAGAAAGTAATGAATCACTTTTTATTGTTTTTTTTTTTTCTATTTTTTATTAAAATCGATTAACTAACCTATTTCATCTGGCAGCATTGTTTAAAAATAAAAATAACGGAAGTCAGTATTATTTATTTAATTATATTTTAATTTCTTTTGCCATGATAAAACTGCTTAATATTTCATTATTAACTACAAAAAAACTGTAAAAAATATTGATAAATATTTCACTTGTGTAACGTTAGGCTCAAATTCGCCCGTCTCTTTTGGAGCGCTTTGCATTTGAAATTAGCGGGAAGTTCCAGAGATGGCCTGCAGGGTCAACCAATTTTTTGGATCCTGAGCAGATACCATCTACTTTTTGCCAGTTAGTGGCAGTGCCCACATTTTGTTGATTGCTTATTAGTTACAGCTCGTACAATCAAATAACATCACGCAAAATAACCTTTTAAGTCTTAACGCTGAACTCTCGTAACGGTTATGCTGCGATATGCTTACACAAAGTGACTTTAATTTTAAGCATTTCAGTGTGGCATAAACAACTTGCGTAGTAAGTAAGGCGCTAGCTAATCTCATAAGTGACAGCGGCAATCACATTGGGGCGATTTGATGGTTAAGTGAAATTTGGAGAAAAAGCTGGCATATTCAATTTTAGCCCCTTAAATACTTGCCCTTAATGTTGTCGTATCTATTCCAGACCGAACACAGGCCTGCAACTTAGGCTCGAATCGTTAGCGGATATTGAGAAAAAGTACAAAAAAGTAACCAGTACAGAGGCGGAGGGTCCTTGGAAGGCACAATATGAGGCCTCTCTACGCGTTTGCAGTCACGCCTACTGGCGAGCGGCGTGTAGGAATGCGAGCGAGTGTGAGGTGAGCACTGCCATGTTCTTCATTAAGTGCACTGTAGCAAATAATTTTAAATCTTCTAACGTAATTCCTATGAAATAAGCTACCTTGTCAATATTTATCTGTTAAAAATTACGTATCCGGAACTGTGTCATTTTCATAATTATTTCTACTACATTTTTCCAACCGACTTCAAAAAAGGAGGTACTTAATTCGACTGTATTTTTTTTGTACGTTACCTCACAACTTTTTTCTAGGTGAACTGATTTTGATGATTCTTTTTTTATTTGAAAGTTGGGGCTTCTTATGTGGTCCCATATAAATTCAACTGAAAGATGAACTCGCATTACACTTCGACCATGCACCCCACCACGCGTATGTACAGAGCTTCTCAAGGTATACCCCGGCAGGTACCTACTGGTAGAAGAAACACCAATCTCATCCTCATATTTCGAGGTACTAGAATATTCGTTTTCCGAGCTAGACAACATTTTCATTGTTATGCTCATAGGAAGCTCCATCTACTTCAGGTTCTTGATAAGTCGGATTCTCATCATCCTCAACCTTAGACTTGTTGAGAAGATACCTTAGACTCCGCGCAACGCTAAAATAAAATAACATTTATAACGTACAATAAACTAATAATTCATTAGTCAATAAAATAAGAGACCATGGTTAGTTTGTGCACCTACCTCTTGTCATCGAAATATAATTTAATGGAAAGGGTTGGGAAACGTTTATCAAACTAATTGATCACGAAGTTGTTAAAGAGACACCGAAAGTGATTTTAAAAGAACAAATGATGGTGGCGAATTTACTATGTAAAGGCTGAACACTTTACAAAGAACAAATTCCGTTACCACAACATTACTCAATTTATGCCTCATGTTTTGCACAAATAATACATTAACCACATTATGTACACATTAGTCAGTTAAAAAATGTTATTCTCATCAAAATACAAATATTTCTAGAAGATATTTATGGATTTACTCACATTGTTTACGACGTGCCACTATTGTTAACCGTTTGTGGCCACTGACAACAAATCTGAAGATTTTCTTTCAGTTCACTCAATGCTTGTGACAGGGACGAATATATTACTATTGAGATAACGCGGTTTCTTTCTAAAATGTGGTCGTAAATTAAGAAAACGAATATAGTCTATTCCTATACCTCTCATTTCGCGATTGTCAGGACTTAAAAATGACTGCCATTTTGTTCTTTATGACGAAAGTTCGGTCTTTATGAATTATATTTCAAAAACACGGGTCTTAGGAGGTTATAGTTCAAAACCTTGGAATAGGTGCGTTACTGCCTCAGAAATAATTGTGGAAAATATATTTGTCGCAACTATACGTGCGTCACAAACTGTAAGTTAATTGTAATATGGGTGCGCAAAAATTGACCGAAGGTATTGCGGGGCGGACGATCAAGTGGACTGTATTAGCGTGGTTCAAAAGGAACCAAAACAAAATGCCGAACGTGGCACGTGGTGGACTTTGGACAATATACTTGCTACTGATAAAGAAACAACAAATAAAACAGTTCATAAATGAGGATCGGTTTTTACCTTGAGGAAGCGGCGAGTGGCCTCTCTCTACGACCATGCGGGCACGATGATAATTGCGAACTGTTGTCAGTTTGCGGGCATGACGGAGATTGTATTGCACTGTGGCCTACAGTGGCGGCGCGTGTCTTCTTATAGCTCCTACCGTCTCCCCTTTCACCTTGGTGGAGCGCGCCTCTCCTTGGAGAACCAAAGATGCGTTTACCAATATTTAGCCCCCTCCCCCATTAGGTAGGCCCGTGCGGGGAAGGAACGGAAGTGAGGGGGAGGGTCAACCAACCCAACTAACAAAATATATAAGTCAGTGTGACAGTAAACCCAAAAAAGTGGTAATGTATTTGCGAATTTGTAACGTAATACATAAATATACAGGTACAGCGCGAGTAGTCAAACATATGAAAATACAAACATATAACATACGCCTTCGTGGATCTTACACCACGTCCACGAGCAAGCGTAACTTTAAATGAACCAGCAAAATCTAAACTCATGTGCATAAAGGGCTTTGCGGATTGTATTACACAAGACCTATGGTCCGCCATTTCTGGGAATGACGGTGTAGGACGAACTCGAAAACAAGCGATACATTTATGCACATTAATGATGACGGTAATCTAAAATTAGCGATTGTTTTCGAAGGTGATGGAACACTCTCCCGCTCTTTGTTATGCATTGGTTTTAGAGCGGTGAACTTTTACTCCAGAATGCTGATAAATTCAATAAGTTCCGGTTATTCCCGCCAAGCCTTCCGTGCTTCTTTATAATTCTTTAAGGTTTCTGGGTCCAGCTTCTTTGTTAATAGATGGACAAGCAAATGATCCCAAGTATTTCTGTCAATCCCTAAGTTATGCATAGCGTGAATACATTCTAGTAACGTGTATTTGTGTCAAGAAGAAGTGAATATAACCGCTTAATTTCATTGGCAGATTGTTTCCGAGTCGATGGTTGACTCAGAAGGATTGCTTATTGTTTGTACCTGTGCACATGAGTCTCCCATGTCGTTTCATAATTTTCCGTTTCCTTTTAAATGTTGTATTTTCTGTGTGTTTATGAGAAATGCGTTGTTATGAATGGCTTCGCTGAAAAGATCGAAGAAAGTTGGCCACGATGCATATTTTCTCGATCGATCGAACTCGATGAGCGGAGTTGATTGCTGGGAATGAACAGTTGATGATAGTTTGCGATTCAATGTTCGTTTGATTTTCTTAAATTCCTGCTTATATGAAAAGATACTCTTCGTATGATAGATCTACACCCTTAATAACATCATAGATCTCTAGGTGAAGAGAGTCTATCATATTACATCGCCATTAAATGCTGATAAGCTCATCTACCAATTTCCATTTTTCGCTAATGTCATCTACATTGAGACCTTTTATCACACGACTAAACATTCTAAAATTAGTCCTTTGTTTTGAAAACAGTTCATCTATTTTTCCACAAGACTCTGTACTTTTATCCTGCTTCTGATAAGTGGACAAGGCAGCTCTAAAAGTACGATACGACTCTCGTTTTCTCAAAAATATTTTCTGTAAAGTATTGGCTACTTTTATCCTCGTAGTCGAAGTACCAAAGAAATGATAAAAAGATAGTTCAAAGGGTCAAGTTGTGAACTGATGCCTTGACTTAGCGACCACACTTGGCAGGTGAGTTCGCAACCGTAGTTTTTCATTTCCTAGTTCCTGATAGGAAGACGCTGATGCCCATCTTCCAGTTTGTTTCCCTTTGTCGCCTATTACGACATCCCACGAGACCATATAAGGTTGTGGATATTCTAACTCTGCCACTACATGGAGTGGAGACAACGTATGCTGTAACAGATTTTTTCATAATTGTATCTGTAATAAGCTGTGTAAATAGTCTGTTGGCTGTACTTAGTATGTGTGGTGTATTGTGTGCGCAGGTGGGGCTGCGCGTGCGCACGCACTACGTGCTAGCGGGTTCGGTGCTGGCGGTGTGGGCGCGCATGGAGGCGGCGCTGGCGGCGCGCGCCGCGCTGCACAAGATGCAGGTCGTGCGCATCAAGACCGACGACGGACGCAAGATCGTCGGTACGCACTACACTCGCACACACGCACACACATACACTACATGCTACATGCTGGCGGTTTGGGCGCGCATGGAGGCGCACTGTCATAGTCCGATGGGACGGGAATCCGACACGATTGAACAGTGATATGGAGCAATACCGACAGCTTTAAGTGCTTTTCGAGGCACGGGACACCGCCAACTTGATCAGCAACCGCGTTTACGTCCAGTAGACCAACGAGGAAGTCATATTTTAATGTCATGCAGACCAAATTTCGATCACGGCGGCCAATTTCCTACGACTAGCTATTATAGTGCACCAGCGTGTGCGCAAGCACAGGTGCACTATCTATTCCCTCAATCTCCTAGTCGATGGGACGGCAATCCGACATGACGGTAGAGAGATCAGGTGCTTTACCGACAGTTTTACTTGCTTTCTGAGACACGGGGATGAAACACCTCCATCTTCCTGACTCGGAAACTTGTTACTAAGAATTTGACAAACGACCTGACACCTGAACATAAGTGGCTACTGCTGCCCATGAACACCTGCAACCATTTGCAAAGGAAGAAGACTACAGATACGTTGTCACCTCGAAAAACTAAGATGGAATATATCACATTCTGTAATTATAGTGACTCTCAACCATACCCTTCATACGCAAACACTACAATTTCCGGCAGGTATAGATAAGAGGATGGTACACTATTTGGTACCTAGTGTTTATATACAGGTGTCCCAGAAATCGACGTTAAGCCGGAAACGGGTGATAGGCCAAGTAATGAGAGTTATCAGAAAATAAAAAATAAGTTATGTATTTTTTTTAAATAATAGGCATTTAAAAAAATCGAGAAAATAAAACCCGTAATATTCTTTTAACTCTCGTTAATACAAAACTTTATTTTTATTATGTAATCCTGAAGAATGCTTCTGTAAGTTGTTGCCTAAAATTCAAAGCCAACTGGTCCAGCTTGAAAGAAAATGTCACTTTTAGCCCAACTTACAACTTAGCGCATTTGATAATGATTTCAAACTGGTATGAAACTTGCTAGATTTGTTTCTTGGACAGTTTTTATTTTGTAAAGAAAACCAGTTCTAAACCTTTTGTTTTCTTAAAATGATTCTAGTGTGACCAAGGCTATCCTTAAGGCCGTAACTTTAGGATTCTAATTTGAGTGAGATGGAGATAGACGGAGAGAGTCATTGTATAAAGTGCGAGTGGGGCAGATAGTTAAGCCACTTTTGATAATGTGTGAGACGTGTACACCATTCGACTAGTGCAAGCGAGACAATAGTCGCTATTGTCAATCTTCACTTACGCACATACAATACATACGTTACCCTTCTGGACTCGCTGGATTTTTTTAAATGTCTATTATTTTAAAAAATTCATAACTTTTTTATTTCTGATAACTATCTTGATTTTGCCTATCACTATCATTTCCGACTTGACGTCGATTTCTAGGACAGCCTTGTATACATTTATTACACATTTATCGTGTAGTTTTAAACAATGTTGTGCTTATTTATTAGCATTACTTGCGAATATACATGATCAGGATAATGAACAGTTTGTTGCAAACTTTCCTTTATTACATTCTTTACGAGTACATACGAACATTCCCCTCTTTTTTCTCCCTGCAAAATGCTTAATGCACAACCAACTAACTTCACTCATAAAAATTGACGACTCTCTTTTTACTAAAAGGTTTAATTTAAGTACGCCTATTTAGCAACGATTATATTTAAGGCCACCTACGTTTAGTACATAATGCGAAAGTAATAATGAAATTAATATTGAAAATGTAAATTTATGATTATCTTTTAAGTTAATAGGAAATCTTATTTGGCATTAATTTAATAATTGTTCGGACACTGTAGTTTATATATATATATATATATATATATATATATTACGATAAATTTTCAATTATAAACTATAGTGTAAATTGAGATTACACTATTGCTTCTAATTGAAAAATTTGCATAGCGTGAACCTAAATATGGCGATCAATAATGTAAATTGACCACTGTAACACCATGTATACCCATATTGCGCAGATAAAAAAATAAATTGAAAAAAAATCGAAATTATATTCGAAGTTAAAAAATAATTAATAAATGATTTCTTATATTTACGCGAACACTACACATTGAATAGAACTACTTTTACGGATTTTATCGCGTTTAATTTATTTTATTTTAATTTAAAACAAAATTGATTCCCATTTTTATTCTTAACATCCGTTAAGTGCAATATCCCTCTACAAGATGCAGGAGTGTACAAGCTTGATTGTAAATGTGATCGCTCACATATATATTAAACAAAAATGTCAACTAAAACCCGCATAAAAGAACATATAGCTGACGTGAAACACCAATGTTCCGGCAAGTCTGCAGTTTGTGATCATATCCTAGACGGCTCCCGCCATTAAATCAGATTAGATCGACCAGAAATCCTCGCGAAAGAACTTTGATTGCTGCCAAGGATGATAAGTGAGACTATTGAAATTAAAAAAAGAGGCTGGGTACTCCCACCTGCTTCGCATCCTGTAATTAATAAAATTAAAACTAAACCCAAGCAAACCACAAGACTTCAAGACAGTAAGTTCATTCTGCGTAGAACGGACCATAAGTATTAATTAAAAAGCTTAATATACTTCGGGTTAACATTGGCATCGGGACGTCAATCACCTCAGTCCCCCATGACCATGGTTAAAATCAAGTAAATTAAACGTGATAAATCCGTAAAAATATTTTATTCAAAATAATTAATAAACTTTAACTAATGGAATTTTTGCAGCATCAGCGGTCTATTTTTAGAAGAAATAGCTCCTCTAATAATAGCTTACAATAAAACTGCTTATTGGTTAAGGTGAAACATACGTTACCATTCTCCCGCAAGATGGCGCTGAAGTCAACATTTTTAGTTTATTTGTATTTTTGTGTAATTAGAAAATTATTAAGTCGTAGGAGTAGACTTAGCGGTTATCGGATTACATTTTATTGGAACGGGTCATATCATTGCCTCAAAATCCACCTAATTCGACATTTACACACACAGACGTATCCCTACGTTTACGAAGCTAGAACACTTAGATGGCGTGTATGAAAAAAAAACGTGTTTTTAATTTTTGTGTAGTGTATGTGTAGATTGGGTAGGCAGAACTACAAAACGCTATGTACGATTGTTATAAATATAAAATTTATATTTGTTGGCGTAAACTATTTAATTGATTTATAACTTGGGGAAATAGATTATGTCAACATTGATTACAATATAATGCAGTTTTATTTTATTACATTACTCTATTGAATTTTTTATCAAAACAGAAGTACATATTTGAAGCAACATAATTATACTGACACATGCCTATTCACTCAAAACTAATAAAACTGATGATTTGTAACAGTACCAATTATTACAATAATTAGATATTTCATAACCAACACGTAAGAAACTATAATTCATAAACAAGAGATAACAACAAATCTATAACACGATTCATTTTGTGATAATAACCAGAAAGTTTGAAAATAATATTTCCTAATTTTAAAGCACTCAACAAAAGCTTTTAGTAAAACGAAAATATAAATCCTATACCTACGAGCAATTCTTGTATGTATATATATATATATATATAAACTAAATCGTGTTATAGATTTGTTGTTATCTCTTGTTTATGAATTATAGTTTCTTACGTGTTGGTTATGAAATATCTAATTGTTGTAATAATTGGTACTGTTACAAATCATCAGTTTTATTAGTTTTGAGTGAATAGGCATGTGTCAGTATAATTATCTTGCTTCAAATATGTACTTCTGTTTTGATAAAAAATTCAATAGAGTAATGTAATAAAATAAAACTGCATTATATTGTAATCAATGTTGACATAATCTATTTCCCCAAGTTATAAATCAATTAAATAGTTTACGCCAACAAATATAACTTTTATTTTTATAACAATCGTACATAGCGTTTTGTAGTTCTGCCTACCCAATCTACACATACAGAAAAATTAAAAACTAGTTTTTTTACATACACGCCATCTAGTGTTCAAGCTTCGTAAACGTAGGGATGCGTCTGTGTGTAAACGACACTATATTTAATGACAGATGTTACAATCAAAATTTATGTCGAATTGGGTGGATTTTGAGGCAGTGATATTACCCATTCCAATAAACTATAATATCCGATAACTGCAAAGTCTACTCCTACGACTTAATAATTTTCCAATTACACAAAAATCCAAATAAACTAAAAATTTTGACTTCTACGCCATCTTGCGGGAGAATGGTTGGTAACAATCCGTAGGTTTCGCTTTAATGGTTAATAACATGACTACAGAGTGAAATGTGTTCACATTTTTTTCTGTTCTGTGATGATTCATACGGCCACTGGCCGTATGAGGACACTCAGGTCGCTCAGCGAGCTATGGAGAGGGCTATGCTTGGAGTTTCTCTGCGTGATAGACTCAGAAATGAGGATATCCACAGTAGAACCAGAGTGATCGACATAGCCCAACGGATTGGCAAGTTGAAGTAGCAATGGGCCGGCCATATAGCTCGAAGAACCGATAACCGATGGGGAAGAAAGGTTCTCGAGTGCCAGCCTCGTACCGGTAGGCGTAGTGTAGGGCGACCCCCCACTAGATGGAGTGACGACCTGGTAAGACATTCAGGAAGTGGATGGATGCAGGTGGCTCAGAACCGTGCTTTGTGGTTGGGGGAGGCCTATGTACAGCAGTTAAGGGCTGTAATGATGATGATAATTCATGTGTATTGTGTATTTCATGTTTTAAAAATTAAAATACACGATAGGTATTTTGTGCAATTTCAAAATTTATAAAAATGTATTATTTTATTTATAGGTCCTACTAACGTAATTTGTATTCTATATATATGCAAACACTTGTTTAATTAATTTAATAATAATTGTTGTCTTTTTTTGTTATTGCACAGGTACGGTTATCCCAAAGAATTGTGTGGAGTCATTGAAGGAAGCTCTGGCATCGGATGCTGTCTCAGTAACTGAGCAAAACTTCGAGACTTCAGACGCGCTAAAATGAGCTCTGTACGTCTAGATATTAAGACTAGATTAGCGCGGACCCCACTCACAGTTCCTCTATCTCTCTTTATTTAACTATACTTAGTTCGGGACCATAAGACAGTAGTGTGGTCCTCCATAGGAGGTACTTGGAGGAAAATGGATGAGTGGCCTTAGCCTTCTCGGAGAGGCAGATGCGGGTCTCGGACGTAGTCAATTACGGACGACATGACGGTACGACTGATTTAATTTTGCCTCCCTCCCCCAAGTCCGAATATATCAAATCGCAATAATTCAAATATTCGAATGAAAATTATCTTAGTATGTTTTGATTAAGATTGTAACTTATTGATATTTGTAGATTAACTTCTATATTTATATTATTGTAATAGATGTTCGGACGAGGGTAAACCAGTTAGGTCAATGAGGTTTCGTTTCCTAGATTTGTTTTGTGATAAGTCTTGTAAAAGTGGTGATGTATGTAAGAAAATGTATTCATGTGAACATTTTCTTGTATTCTGCTTTATATGTTTTAAAACATTTATTAAATAAAGGATCGCGCGTTCAACACTGAATTACTTTATACATACATATTATATTCATTTAAATATCTGACAATTGCTGTATACAGCTGATTCATAAACAACTTTTAAAGTAGTTGGTAACAATAGCAAGTTGACAGTAAGTACTACGTATAAACATTATTTGGTAGGTATTACCTACTCTATGTGACCTTATAAAAAGTTAAAACAAAAATTGGCACTAGTCGATCAATAATCTCCCTATTATAAAATTAGACAAAATCTTTCTGTTTGTTTTAAAGACAGAATTTTCTGCGAATACAAACAATATTTACCCTAATGCTAATATGAAATATTTTAAATACCTATTTAAACGCAAAATTCTTTAAAAAAATGTTAATGTTCGTGGAAAAGTTGAGTTAGTACAGACGGGAGGAATGTTTTGTGACAAATATTAATATTATTTTGGATATTACGTAAGTTATAAATCACACGAATTTTAATTTAAGTTTATACTGATGTATAAACGAATTTATAAGCCAAACAAATTTTATTTTTAAAGAGGTAATATTGATTATTGTATTTCAATATAATTTGATAACTTAACATTATTTTAATTGACATACACATGCACATTTTTAGACATTAGCAAAGAGTGAATTTAGATCATAATACAAATGAAAATAGAAAGGAAAAATAGAAATGTCTGGTGTTTCCAGATAGTGTTTTGCTCACTTTTACAGATCAGTGTATTTCCTTATTTTTATCTTAATTTACAAGTGCAACAAATATTCTGTTTACTGTTGTGTACAATTTTTTCTGTCTGAGTAGAAGTATTTTATGTTCAAAGAAAGAATTTTATTGGGTGGTACATGTAGAAATTAATTTATAATAAATGCAGTTTATAATTAATCAAAGTGTCACATCTCAAATTATTGTCTGGTCTTCTGTGTATAAAGACAAATAAATGTATATAAATAACTTATTTTTCTTTTATTATCACTGAATTATTGGATTTCTATATATTAGGTATTCTATATACAGATATCTAAGGCTGTCAACTTTAAGTCCTGTTTGTCCTTGCATACTTTACCTTATATTTACGGTGGAAGAGAAAAAGAATTTGATGTTTAACATGCTTTAAAATATGTATAATAAATTAATAATATATATAATATATATTCAAAGCATGTATTTAGTTTTTAAGAAGCATTTTAGAACACTCAACAAAAATCCTGTGGCTCCCGTTAAGTGCGTTATCAGAATCGGTATTCAAACGTATAGAAATAGCTTTTAATTGAAAACACGACCATAATTTTTTTAATTTAATTTAAATAAATTTTAATTTGCAAATTGTATGTGGTTTTGTTACTCTGCATTGTCTGGGGAGTAAAAGGATTGTCGAAGACCTCGCTTTACCGATGTGCATGTCAGTTAGAGATAATAAAACAACATAAAATTTGCGAATAAAATGTTATTTTAATTAAATAATTAAGTAACAAAAATTTAATGGTCGAGTTTTCGGAAAAAAGTTATTTCTATACGTTAAAATCATCGATCACTGTTTTTTTATTAGTGATCAATTGTTAGAATACTGATTCTGATAACGCACTTAATAGGAACCACAGGGTTTTTGTTACATGTTGCATATATAAATCAATTACTGTCCGATAGTCTCGCTAAAACTCAAAACCGCTCGACCGATTTTGTGAATTTTTTGTGTGGGTTTAAATGGGGACCCACTGGATGGTTTAGATTCACATTTGGAGACGGTAGGTGGCGCTGTTTTCGGGATCCAGAAATCACCCGTTTGAAACCGGGGCGGATCGCTAGTATTTATTAAACAGATACATTTATTCGCTACAGACTATCGAAGGTGCTTCTGAACACCAATCCATAAATCATCATAATCTCGTAGGGAGGATATTTTCCATCGTCGCCACGCTTGACAGGCGGTTTGGTACCGCAGTTCTTAATTCAATAGAGTTCTCATAAACGTGCTGCTGCCCATTTCCTTTTTCAGTGGTTTCCTTTTTCATTACCCATGGGGAACATGGGGTGTAGAATCACGTCGCGCCACCACCACACGATAATATTAAATAAAATAATTCTAATACATACGGAAGGTACAATAGGCGTACTAAAGCTATTTCTAAAACGTGAATACATATACTCTGACTATTTCTCCACACAACCTTCTACAACAAGTAAAATAACACATAGAGCAACACGGGCCTTCGACGGACCGGAGGAGAATAGTTTTTCCTCGATACAGAACTGTCCTAACTAGTATATAATTCTATCTGTGGAGCTGTCTCTCATTTTTTGCGGGGGCAAAATCAGCGCACACCGTAGACAGAGTGTGACGGCGCTGTCGTCGCGCCGCATGCGAAACACACCGAAGCCTAAATCACGCTCTCAAGATTCCGAATCATAAACAGTATATATAGAACATCTCCGACTATCACACGGAGTGTTGGCCGCTCCCCGGGCAGAATACCTTGCCGCAATTCCCCTGGTGTTGCTGTTGGTCATGGACTGCGGCAGTCACTTAACATCAAGTGAACCGTATGCTCGTTTGCCCCCTCTTCCATAAAAAAGGCAGCGCCAGTATTCTTCGGACAGCGGTTGATAGATTTTACACTAGTGGCCTCTCTTTTCCCGTATAGGACAGTTACTATACTCTTTGGACGTACTGCAACGTAGGCGTATACGCAATGCAGCCATAAGGGGTGACAGTTTTTTTACTTTAAAATATTGAATAATTAACAATTTCGTTGTATTTATGATCATCAATCATCAATAGCGATCGAACAAACGATATCTTAAAAAATTAACTTAAGGGATAAAAGTTAAAATTTACAATAAGGAGCCAACCTAAGGATATGTTTAATTAATTATAATTAAAAGACGAACAAAAATGATTATGTTCGAACAATAACGAACAAAAGACGAACAATTAATTAAAAATAAAACAAAACTCAAAAATCAAAATAATATCCAAGTGGGGCTAGGTTTAGTTAGTTATTGTATTCATTCTTATACCATTCAACCCAAGAATGGTAGTCATTTTCACGTTATAATATATTGGCAGTGTTTGGCAGAAAAAAGGGTTAGGAAGCACTTGTAAGCAAAATGGCGATCGTAAGCGGTAAGCGCTGTCAAATGGTAAATAGCTTTTTACTTTAGGACACTAAGTTAGCTTTAACCGGGGAACCCACAGAAATCTAAATTTCAATAGAAGTCATAAAAGCGCGTGACCTTGTCGCCGCAGATGTGACTCGTATGCCACAAGCGCGCGAGGAGCGTTTGTTTCGGAGGCAGAGAAGTAAACATGGTGTTTTGAAGCATATCCAACTGCGGAAATTCTTCCACAACTTGCAAATTCTCAAATAAAGGGATAACATTTCATAAAAAGCACTTAGTGTTTTAAATAATGTTGTGTTTAATGAAATATACTTAAATACAATTTAACCTCCAGTACTACGATTGTCTCCGAAATTGTAATTGTTTTCATATTTCAATATCCATTGATTCTTAAGCTAGTTCATGTCAACGAGTACGACAGCTAAAATCAGCTATGTATTTATAGTATGGGCAATAAACAAAATTGTTACGTACATCAACTTTCCTAGAACACGGCCGCAGGGTCGAATGCAAGTCAGTTACGTGACACAACTATTTTGTATTGATAATTTATTGTGTTTGGCTTACCTAGTTTTAACGAAACGGGAATTAAGTGTGATTTTTCATTGAATATTTATTTACACCTTTCTAATTTTTTTCTTTCTAAATATTTTATACCGTTAACCGTTTGTTGGCGATTATCTGTTTGTTTGTACTTTTAAATTACTTGATAAATTTTTAATCAGTTATATTGTAAGAATAAGTAATTATATTGTAAGGATAGTAGTCTTAATTTGATCTGTAAGAAGCCGGGAAACTGAAAAGTACCAAACAACAGAAAGTCAGTTACAGATCTTTAAAACTAATAAAAAATGATAAATATGTCACCCATACATATATTTATTCGTTTGCTGTTTGTATAATGTTGCATTAATTTTATTTATACATCTGTTTATTTAATACAATGCTATTATTACACGTTTCAAAAAGATACGGTTATTAAAGATAAATGGATATAATTATTCTTAATGTATTATTATATCCCCTTTTTTCTAATTATAAAACATCTAAAAGCTAAAGCTAAGACTAAAAGTGTCTGTTACTGAGACAATTTCAGTTAATTAGTTATATCTTGGTGTGAGACTCCTGGAAGATCAACGACGCTTAATAGAAAGTTATCGAAACGTGCGTTGGGCTGCACTATGCCCCAGTAAGAGCGAGCGCGCAATGTCATTCACTGGGTGCGTTTGGCAGAAAAAAGCGCTAGCAAGCGCTTACAAGCGCTGAAATAGTTTTCGGCCAGGACACGATTACTACTTCAGTAGCGCTGACACAATCCGCCATTTTGCTTATTTAATTTGTTTGTTTTGAAGTA